TTGTTGTTACCCTGTCTGGCGCTCGGCATTAAGGGGTTAAATCAAGGACTGGTCGGCTCGGAGTCAGTATATTGTGTCTGACTGGGATATTCACGTTAAACTGCGGCGTGGTATCTCAGTGGGCTAGCACTATAAATCGGCATCAGTCCGGTCTAGTACAAGCAGCCACACACACACGTGCATGCACGTCGCTATATAAGTGCAATAATCTTGGACGCGACATTAAACCCCTTTTCACCTCGCCTTTAGAACCAACTGAAGTAGAACTTGACTTTTTGTCAAACTCAGAACCAGACTTCTTAGAACTAGATCTAGGAGGGGATGAACTGTCCTTACCTGATTTGTTACCCTGCGAACTCCTGCCTGTAAACCTGAGTGCTTAAAACTAACCCTGTCAGCTAGCAAATAATCGTCGGCCAAAGTAGATGCTTTGTGTAACTGATCCACTTTCTGCTCATCAAGATATGTCTGAATGTCCGTTGACACACACTGCTTAAAATCCTCCAGCAAAACCAACTGCCTCAAACTATCAAAATCACCACTGACCCCCTTTGAAGTACACCACCTATCAGAGTTTCCTTCTCCCTTGCAAACTCAACAAAAGCAGAACCATCTCTTTTGCTAGCAGACTTAAACCTTTGCCTGTAAGCTTCAGGGACCAATTCATAAGTCTTCAAAACGTTAGCCTTAACAACCTGATAATCAGAACTCCTTTCAATAGGTAAGGTACAATACACTTCCTGAGCTTTTCCCCAAAACACACGTTGCAACAGCATGGTACACTGATCTTGCGGCAATTCAAACTGTTAGCCACCTTTTCAAAATGTAGGAGCAAGTCTAATCTGCTTGGAAAGATCAAAGAAACCATCACCTGTTGAGGCACTGAGAGAGCGATCATTCTGTCATTCAAGTTCTTTTAGTCTAATTTCTTCACCATCTTCCAATCTCAATTCAATTTCTTTACGTCGAAATTCTCTCGCTTCTTTTTCTGTCATTTTCTGCTTTAATATTCAAGTTTTCTTTTCTTTCTCAGCTTCCAATAATCTGAGCAAATTTCTCATTCAAATTCTAATCTCTTTAAAGCCAAAACGTCAATTTTTCTTCAATCAAGGCCAAAGCATCATCATCCAAAATTTCTTCCTCAACCTAGTAATTTAAGTTATCAAAATGTAATGTTTGGTCAATTCAACCAGTTCAGACTTTTTGAGCACTGAGACTTGATTTGTCGAAGGTTGGCTAACGAATTCCTCTTCACTAAACACCATGGTGATTGTTGGTTTCACACAATATTAGATAATAAGATGTTTATCCAATAATGATGACAAATATTTGGTAATATATTAAATTTCGATCCCAGACGAGCCCCCAATTAATGTTACGTGTCGATTCCCAAATGAAACAAACTTTTTGTAAATATTGTATTTTTATTATTTTATTTTTTATTCAAACAATGTTAACCCAGAAATCTTTACGAGAAAGAACTTAGTGTGAAACCAACGAACAACCAACAAATGGAATACAATCAACAAATGTATCACAAAATTAACTAGGTTTACAAATCAACACAAATTACTGCACAGCAATTACAACGGCAGTACACAATAGAGTAAAGTACAATATTTGATGGCAATATATAATATGATGGCAGTTGTCGGTATCAAATACAAAAAGTGGTGATAATAATATATATTCAACCAGCGGCGACAGTAGTCAAGCTTCCGAGATGGGCTAGTCAGGGAATCAGGGATGATGAGTGATCCTCACATGAAAGCTGGTCTTGACGTGATAAAATGCGTGAGAGATATACGGAAACACGCTCTTGTCCCCTTATATACAGCCAAAGTGGCTACTGGAGATTTCTACACAGTGTCCTCACCACTCTTGCGGCACTAGACGTCACAGAATATACTGCATGAGTCCACAGTATACCGGAAGTTTACACGCCACACTAGCATCTAAATATAATTACTTTCAGACGACAGCTTACATTAAATGGTACCACATTCCCAACGACCAATCAGTGTCCAAACACAATACCGAATCTCAACAGAAACAATGCAACACAGTTACAATCATTGTTCAACTATAAAATGCACTGTCATGTAACATATATCTTGTTAATTTGTTAAAAAAGTGTATGAGTGGCGGTTCCGACTGAGTTAATTAAAATATTCTGACATTCATCACGTAATATCGTTTTGAAACGTACGCATATCAATATATGGAGCTTATTTTTAGACACTGAGTTGGATAAATGTAACGCATAAAGCTGTAAAATGGGATTTGTATTAATTTCAAATTGAATTTTTTTCGGTGATGGAGAACAAAAGCGCAAATATAAGTCATTGATGACCCGTGCTGTTTGGGACCATGGGGCCATGATGCCTTGCAGTAATATATGCAAAAACAGAACTTTCAACTTGGATGTGTTGAGGGTGCAATCACTGATAATCTGGGGTGAGATTTTTTTCTACAAAATTTATCGACCCCCCTGAATATGTTACAAATGCCTCATGATGTAGGAAAAAATGAAAAAATATGCGGATCTTTGATCTGACTACCTTGTGTTTCAGAGACGGGTCCGTGCATGATTTAAGAATGGGGCGGGGTGGGGTGCACATACCCATGTCATGAAGTGAACGGAAAAACATGAGAGACTGGCAATAGTAGACAGAGACAGACACCAGGTGTCATGACTATCATAAAAAAACCATCTTCTCTCCTCAATGTCAGAGATGTGATACGTTTGAGCACTGAATCGATATATCGTGCAAACAGTTCAACATGTCACCATTAAGAAACCGTTGAATAACATTGAGATGAGTTGAAAGACAATCAGCTGTTGAGTTATGCCTTGCGTGAAGGATTTAACACCGAACAATGGTTGCCCTGACCCACAACACTGGCAACTGAGTGATAAATGCTGGCGCTGGCCGTATTGTAAGCTTTGACGTAACTATTTTTCGCGTCATTACTGCTATTCAACATGCCCCTGCCAAAGGCGCATGTTTACACAATCGTTATCGACAGAGTGATTAAACCAACATGTGTGTTGCGGGTCATGTATTATGCAATATTACATCAGGACTTGAATTGTCTTCTGTGTTGTTTATATCATATGTAGAAATATAGTACATACATTGGACTATGGGTCAAGAAAATATTGTTTGAAATGCAGATGTACACTAATTTTGCTTAAACCTTTCTTAATGAACAGGTCAAACCTTCGTTAATTAAAGAGTACATTAATCTCTTATGATTTGTGTGTTTGTTGTTTAACGCAGCACTCAGCAATATTCCATCTATATGACGGCGGTCTGTAAATAATCGAGTCTGGACCAGACAAACCAGTCATTGACATCATGAGCATCGATCCACGCAATTGGGATACGATGACATGCATCAACCAAGTCAGCGAACCTGACCTCCCGATCCCGTTAGTCGCCTCTTACGACAAGCATAGTTATATTGAATTCTTAAAGCATCATAAAGTTTGATACAACCGGGCCCAGAAAATAGCTGGAAGGGTTATATAAATCTTGAAATACAAAAAGACTTCGGCTCTTAAATACGCACAATTTTCAGATTTCAGAAATGTGACTGTTTAGTCGGGATACAGGATGACGACGTGAGAAGCAATCACCATACAACGTCAGGCGATGTTTGAGAACTTCCATGACCTTCTCGCCTATCCCTAAATTATTGAAGGCGTGTATGTTTATTCGGTTAGGTATGTGTGGCTGTCATCATCACGGGACTAAATACGTTTAATATTACGATATTTCAAAACAACTTATCATCATCTCATCATGAAATTATCAGTGCTTGTCTGGCGAGCACCTTAAAACTCCCAGCAAATAAACGAGTAACTTAAATGGGGAATTAACGTGCGCTTTCCGACATATAAGTATTTCGCGCACGAGCCCGCCAGGCCATTTTGTGTTTGGTGGAAAAGGGTATGTCCCAGAAGGTTAGGCACCCTAGGGGGACTTTTATGGTTGCTTACTTAATCTGGAGAAGAAATTTGGAATTTTGAATAAAATGGAGTTTTTGTGAGTTTGTGTGTTTTATAGGTTTTTAGGGTTTATGGACAGCTTGTTTGTTGTACTTTTTTTTAGATGCGGCCGAGTAGGTCTGTTTTGATTAGATAGATGTCTTGTTTGTAAGGGTTTGTAACTCATTTTGAGGGTTTAGTAGCCTTGCTAGTGTCATTTGATCGTTGCAGTATAGTATGGATTGGAGTGTTGTTCCGTGTTGTTGTGTGAAATACAGTATTACGTGTTCAGGAATTTCTTTTAGGTTGCAGTGGGGTCATTTACCGGTTTGGTATTTTATTTTTAATTTGGTGTAGGTGGGAGTTTAACTTTGTGTGGCATGTTTGAGGTTTAGTTATTACTCTGTCATATCTTTTGGTTTTATGGTGGATTTTTGTTTTTCTTTGAGTGGCTTTTGTAGCAGGCGTTTTAGTTTGCAGTCAGATTTCTGAACGTTATTTTGCCACTTTTGGAAGATTTTCCCCTTTATGATACTTTTAATTTCGTTTTTTGATATTGGTAGGTTCATGCTTACATCTTCTAATTTTAGTGCTGATTTGTCTGCTTTGTCTGCGTGTTCGTAGCCAAACACTCCAACGTGTGTAGGGATCCAAACTATTTTTATGTTTTTGCCTAGTTTACGTGGATTGTTGGCGCTTTAAATTATCAGTTGTATTAGTTTTGGGCGTTTGTGTGTTTTTGTGTTTTATGGCCTGGGGCCCAGTAATTGAGTGTGAAAGGATTAGGTTGTTTTTTTGTCTATGTATTTGAGCGCTGTGCAGGGCTGTTACTATCCCCTTTAATTCGGCTGTGAAAATAAACTACACGTAGGCTTACGTGTATATACGATCTTCTATGAAATAATTGCATGCGATTGGTGAAATATCCACGTGGTTATATGTTTTGATACTATAAATAACACCAAACGTCATTGGTTTTTCCTTTACGCCAGGTCACGTGATTGTGTAACAATCCTCGTGATAGTGCATAAATACAACATTGAAAACTCACAGGAAAGCTGGGATATATTCGTATCGGATCTGGGCGACTTTATAAATACGAAGTATAGACAAGCACGTAAATGTGAGAGGAATATATCATCGAATTATACAGAAAAACGTAATTTATATCTGACCTATTTGCCGCTGCGCAGTAGTCTTTGTGTTTACATCAGCAAAGTCGCCATCTTGTCAGGTCGGAAACAAGCATAATCGCAGCAGTCATATTTCAACATTTACGACGATCACGATGAAGTGGCAATACAAAGAAGAGCATCCATTTGAGAAGAGGAGGGCCGAGGGGGAGAAAATCAGGAAGAAGTATCCTGACCGTGTCCCAGTAAGTAGCAGAGACGAAAATATGGGGGTTAGATCCACTTCCCTTTTGAAATAATGAAAACAAACAGCTGACCAGGAATAATGGAGTCACTGTTGTGTGGTAACCAATCTGTCATTGTTATTTTTCGTTTAAACCGTTTCATCTTTTGTGGTGTGGATTCTCTGATGAATATATTTCACTTTGATGGGTGTGTGCTAAATCAGTATAATATCGAAAGTCGATTCGGCCATTTTTGTTTTCTTTTTCTTCTCTGAATGAAAGCGAAAATTAGCCATGTCAACCGTCTTTGATTGCCCTTTTCCTCAACAAAGAATAAAGCTATGCCCAGATTTCCATTCGACTGCTTAAGTCGATGTGAAGTTAACAAATTCTTGTGTTCAAACACTGATTACGTCATAAATGTCAGTACACTGTCTTATGAATTCTGTGACCCATTGACATTGCATTTCATTGACACTCATGAATGGTACGAAAAGTAACCGTAGCATTCTTTGTTCCCATATTTCTTTGCTTTGTGTTTGTCATTTCTTAGGTGACCAGCATGCTTGCATTTTTGGTCCCAATGATGATAAATTAGTCAAAGCAATATGACTGCAATTACAATGGGATGATTGCAATACTGTAGTGTTATATTCACATTGTTACTGTGTGGTGTGTGGATTCAAATCTTATTCCTGTACAATGATAAAAGGAATGTTTCAAGCTGGGCATTGTTTGTGACACGTTGGAAAATTACCCTTTACCCCCTACCTCTTTAAAGGGCTCTTTTGTTTTTACAGTGAGATTATTACATGCCAATACTTTCTGAAGTGTGACATTTGCGACCTGTTTAGTTCTGAACTTCTTGAACTCCTAAACAATGCAAAGTCTGCAACGTGTACAACTCCCTTAAAAGAAAACGAGATGTGAACATGGAGACAGGAACTAATCAGTAAATCAGAAAGTAAGGATATGTAATAAGTGAGAAAAGTGAAGTCTGTCAACATCACAAGATAATATGTTATCTACCATCTAATTTTGTTGAGGACTGTGTTTGTAACACTTAAGGTTATATGATGCGACCAGTGAAAATAATTCTTTAAGCTATTTAACTATTAATTTAACTGTTAGTTAATACACTTTATTGAAACAATCATGATCGTGTATGTGAAACAATAATCTTAACATGCTTTTTGTCTATGAATAGTTTGCTTGGTGAAAAAGTAAAATGTACACATGAGGCAATCACAACCACAACTAATGATTGATATCAAATCAAACAGTCAAATATGATATAAATTTTCTATTTATACTTGCTAAAAGTTGATTTGCATGACATTCCACAATCAAATTGTTACAACCATACACCAAGCAAACGCATATCAATCAATCAATCAATCAATCATCAGAAATACTCTTATCAATGACTCATTACTGATGAGATAAATATGATGAATTAAATGACGACAAGGTTTTATTACCTGTTCCTGATTCTAGCACCAGCAAAGTCCTGTGCTTCTCTGGATGAATTGTCGATGAATGCAGAGCTCCAGATAGCTTTTGGTGTTGTGGGTATTTTACCCATGCATTTTAAAATCGTTGGGTATCAGTTATTCTATCTGGGTATTCAAATTTCTGTTACCCACTAGTTTTTACACATGTGGGAATTTTAGTTAAATATTTAATAACACTATTCATCTAGTCCCAGCAAACTGGTGTCGTGTGGGTTCGAGAGCTTTTTAGGACTAAAAAAATACCACGATAATCCCACAAGAAAGTGTGATGGCAAATGATCATGATGTAACTGTCATCGTGGAGTTTACCAAGGTTGACGGAATGTCCGTTTATAATTTCAAAATAAGTTGCTGATTTGCTAATCAAATACGCAGGGTTACTTCACAATAATTTGATGATACGCACACGTTTTATTTTTGTAGCGTATCCGTTATGTTCGTTGCGTATTTGATACGCTTGGATTTTATTTTACTGCATATTTCTGCATTTCTGATGCATATTTTACGCAGATAAGCAGCTTATCTGGAGCTCTATGAATGGTTTGTTGATGTAATCATTGTAATTTATTGTATGATTGACACTAAGACCAATCTTAACTTGAGACGATATTGAAGTAAAACTGTCCAGTGGCATATTGTATTTTTTCAGCAGGTCTACCAGAATGAAATAAATTAGAAGAGTGATGTTGATTAACATGAAATTTAGTTAACAGGTTCAGTACACTATATTTCCAGGTTTGTGTCATGGGAAGATTAAAAGTGATTTGTCATTTTATGTAAGTGATAACATGAACATGTCAGCATCATTTTCTATAGTAGATAGTTGTCTCAAAGGATGATGGTACTCTGGGCATGGATAGGATTGCATGTAATTGCCTGAACATGCAGAACAACACAATGGATGTCATATGTAACATGATTTTGGTGTTACTTTTGTTGTCATGACTACGGAAAAACAGTTTGGCGTATTACTATGCCATGCATATCATCATGTGTGTTGTCTGAATCAGTGAATCATCATGTCATCATCAAGTAATGTGTTGATACAAATAAAATAAGACTTGGACATTGCAAACTCGAAAGGAGGACAAGGATCAGTTCATCTGTGGTTTGATTCTTTCAAAACTAAAGAATTTGTCTGCCATCTAAGATTCAAATGAGAATTGAAAAAATGTTTTCACTCTGTTTCATTCATGTTTTTCACATTTCATTCAACAGTGATGACATTAATTTAATTTTGTCTAAATCTTGTGTGAGCTGGTTTGTTGATCGCATCAATTCACCATTGTTTACAACAATCACAGTTTGGATTAGTGTTATTTTGAGGTTTGAAACAAATAAACCTTAGTTGTCATAGAAAATATATATAAGTCATGGATGTTTTCATGTCATGACAGTATCAGTAAGATCAGATCTTGGTTCTCGCTGCTGCTAAACAAAGATCTGAGCACATCCCAGTACGGGTCATGTAAGAATTACCTTTCATCCGACCAATGAGAACATCGCATACCAGATGAGGAAAGCGACAGCCGGAATGTGTTTCCTAACCTTGCAACCTCAAAAAGGTCAGAGCTACAGATAAGCTGGGTATTTGCGTAAAATACCCCCCAAAACTAATGAAAACCCAATTACTTTCAATTAACTTGCGTGAAGAAATACTTGCATTAAATTAAAAACTAAATTGTTTGAAATCAGCACATGTAAATACCCAATAAAGCTTTTAAACATGCATACAACGGAGCTAATTTCCGAAACACAATTACAAGCTAATTTACTTTCTGAGTCAAGCCAATATTTAAGATCATTATATACATCTAAAACATCATTTCATTATTATTTTTTAAATCTCAAAATTTTAACTAATTTGCGGAAAACCCAATAGAGTGATGAATAGATGAGTGAAAAAATATTGGTTACCCAATGAAAAATGTAAAAACCCAGTTTAAATATAAACCTTCGAGTAAAAACTCAATTGCTCAAAAAGTTATCTGGAGCCCTGACAGGTTAATATATACATTACATATCAAATGTTATGACTGTAATTATGATGTTGTCAGACAACAGGTTTACTACTACAGGGTTTCTTTTGTTTACGTATTTATGTCATGAGATACAAGTTTGCTGCCAATGTAGTTGGTAACCAAATATCCAAACAGATTTGTTTTCTTGCGCAGGTCATTGTTGAGAAAGCCCCTAAAGCCAGAGTAGGTGACTTGGACAAGAAGAAGTATCTGGTGCCATCTGATTTAACAGTCGGACAGTTCTACTTTCTCATCCGCAAACGTATCCATCTCCGCCCTGAAGATGCACTCTTCTTCTTTGTCAACAATGTGATTCCCCCAACCAGTGCAACCATGGGAGCTCTTTACCAGGTAATGTCAGGATAACTACCATGTTGCAGGAGAAGACTAGGAGAAAACAAATATATGCAAACATTTTCAGCTCAGATGGTCAGGAAGTCCCCGACTTATTTTGTGAAGAGTTAATAGTTGTTGACACTTTCCACATTTGTCCACTTCTTATGAGAAACAGTTGCAGGTAAACGCGGTAAACTGCTGAAATTGTAAAGATTTTAAGACCATCAGACTTTTCTGATTGGAGTTTTTTGCAATTGGCCACAAACAAAAGCCATATTGGATTCATATTAAAGTCTTTTTAACCTAAACCGCTTGACCAATTATTATTATTATTAGGCTTAAATCTCTCCTGATTTTTATTTTGGTGATTGTCTCGCCCAACATCAAACATGGCTACCAGAATCCTAAAGAAATTTTAACTTATAGATATTCATTTGTTCAATGTTCTTGTTCAAGATGTTTTAGTTACATATGCTGTATAGATTCGTTTCATAGGAGCTTAGTGGTAACAGCAGTCTTTGACTTTAGCAACAAGTCTAAAGCGAGAGTCTAGTATAATTCATTCCAGTAAACTTAACTAATAATAGATCTTATGAAAACACTAAAGTATAAAAAAAACTTTTGCTGGGGGCCAAAGTTGGGCGAGTAGACTGAAAAGCATTTGGTACGGATTGTGAAAGTATGGCGATACCAAGACAAATCAGAAAACATTTGTCCTTTTTTTTCACATGGTCATGATTACCCCGGTACTTGTTTATTTCTGTTTATGGTGTTATTTTCTGTTTGCAGGAACACCATGAGGAGGACTTTTTCTTGTACATTGCCTACAGTGATGAAAGCGTCTATGGAGCATAGGGATACTGATTCTCTACTTTTGTAAATATTTCTCAGCTCTCTAATATCACAGCAAATGTCAGTGTGCAAGTTGTAACATTGGAACATTTCAAGCCGCTAGTGTTCTGTTTCCACTCACAGCACTCTGCCATTCGTCTTTAATTTGTTCACTTTCAAGAAAAGTGTGACCGGTATGATACTGGTGAATGGGATTTTTGTTTATTTTGGACATATTTAAACCTTGTATTAATGGGTCATATATATGATACATTAGTTTTTGGATATTCCAAATTATACGTTTATTTCAAATAAATCCCCCAAAACATGTTGCAGGCAGTAGTGTTGTCTTTTCTTTGAGTATTTGTAACAGCAATCCATGTTGATAGCTTGTCTGAAATGGATGAAAGTAGGACTTTCCCAATAATGATGGATACCATTGTTCCAGTAAAAAAATTCTCAAGCTCATCAATCATGAAGATAAACGTTTGTCAGAACACTTCAAGCAGTGGTATTGCGTGAGACCTATACCGATATTAGCTGTTTGTACAAAAAATGAAAACAGAACAGTTAAAATGAAGAATCCCCCCCCCCCCCCCCCTTCCTTTGTGTTGATGTTATACATTTTATCATCACTGTGTAGCTTTTATTGTATTTTATTGTTCATGTGAGATTTTATTGTCTTAATTGTGTACATAGTTCTATGTATGTTCTAGGGTTTTGGGCTAAGTTATTTGGACAGTTTAGTTAAGTTTATTAAAGGTGTCTGTTGTAGAAAAAAAACCACTTTTAGTTTGAGTGATGTTTGTGTTATGAATCAAGACATTTGTATAATGGGGTTATGAAAACTTGCTTGTAAACTATTCTAATCGTTTTAGCTTGAAATAAACTATGTTCAAATGCAATTATTTGTTGCTGTGTCTAGAGCATTTTGTGATGATGAATTGATATGACATGACAAATTATGCCCACAGCCATACTGACTTACATGAATGCTATGATCAGATGATGAAACTGCTGTCTGTCTACATCACTTCTCGGGTTTTGTGTCAGTGTACGTTTGGCCATGTTGTCAGGATGCCCTTGTGTGGATATTGATGCAGACAGAATAGAGTAGATACATTGAGTATTCAAAATATATTGCTGATGACAGCTTTATATGGTATATACTACAATGAGATTGAATATTTTAGGTTGTAGTGTTCATGTTTTATCATACTTATAGGGAATTTGCATGACCCACACTTGATTGTTTCCAGGTTGGTGGGATATGGCTGATCAGCCTTAATCACCTTTCATGTACAGTGGGCTAAAATTTATTTTCGCAATGGGAAACCAGTGGTTGATAGAATGAGCAACTATCCACACTGTTGGGCAACAATGACACACTATAAGCCAGGGCCTTCCATGAAATGATCTCAGCACTAAGACTACTCCCACACTTCAACATAAACTTATAATGGTCTTAGTGCTGAGATCAAGGGCCCAGGTCACACATTGTAACCATCCAATCCAATGACATGATAGGACGACATGAGTTGACAGGACCAGTTCCTTCTGAAACCCCTTATAACATCCCATTATCCAGTGTATTATTCTTCTATTGTATCATGATAAATACCCTGGACCCATTTGCTGCCATAGCTTCAATTAGAGCCTGATTCGATTGGCAGTGGCCTGTAATTGATTTTTGCCAGGGAAACCAGGGGTTGATAGAATGAGCACCTAATCACACTGCCTACAATGACACACTATCAACCAGGGCTTTCTTGCACAAAACAATTTTAGTCCTAAAACATCTCCCACTCTTCAACTCATGGCCCAGGTCACACCCAATCCTCCCAACAATATGTCATTATTAACACAAAACAAACTGCCAACAAACTATTCATTTGGGGCATATTCCTGAACAAACTAATCCTTTTATAAAATAACCAACCCACCCACATTTCTTTAAATCTAGTGCCCTTTTTTCATAACACAATGTAGTTTTAAACATTTATTGACATGGATCATTAACCATAGGTACATTGAGGGAAGTAAAATAGCTCCTCCATAAAAATCTGAAATCTGCCACGAAGTGCTGGCTCAATTTACTTCAGACTAATGGGTGTGTTTTACACACAGAAAGGTCCATTGTTCTAATACCATCGGTTATTGTTCGTATTGCGTCACCCATATATACAGAAGGAAGTGTTAATAAAGCGGAACTGTGCATTAACATATGCACCATCATGTTTGAGACTGCACTGTCACGACTCACCTAAATACCAAGCGCCGTTACTGCACGTATTGTTCATAGTATTGGCCGGATTTTACTATCCCTAATTTCACGCTAAATTATTTTTCAAATTTTTCACAAAACAAACTTTCTCTTTAACCCAGTTAAAATTAACTCTAAAGCGATACAAATTAACCGGTCATCTTCGGGTGCGAAAATAGTTGAATGAAACAGACGCAGTTTCCTTGATTGACAACAGCAACATAGTTTATACATCATGTGCTTGCTTGGTGACTTATCTTTCGCAAACACGAGTGGGAGTTATTTAGTACAACTGCAGAGAGGTGTGCTGATTGTGGGCGTTATCAGAGACGGCAGATAAGTAAAACAGGTTCGGCTATGCGAAGATAGTGTACATTCATGTACTTTCAAGCATACACGTACACCGACGGAGTGATTTGAAATGAGTGAATATTGCCGGATGCCGCAGTCCGCAATATTTCAGCAACATCGCGGCGGCCAGGTAATCGATCAAATAGCCAAGTCCGGACCATGCTGACACGCAGTCATCCTAGGGACTGGCCATTCATTATATGTTGGGTGGTGGCATGTAACAACTTTTCTTACCCCTATATACATGTAACAACATTTCGTGCACACATTGAGAATAGCAAGTAGGGAGTACAAGTGGTATACATTGCTTAATAAGTCTATCTGTATTCGCTGGTTTATCAAGATAAGGGGGCAGTAGTATGGCTAGGTGGTTAACGCATTCACTCGGCACTCCGACAACCCGGGGTCGATTGCCATTTTCTTGTGTCCCCGCCTGACACTGCAGTGATCTAGACTTGCCCAGCATTATACACTTGCATGGGCTGTATTGGATATATTTGTTTCAGGGTCTACATCGGCAAGAACCAGGGCTTTTAGAGGAACATCTGTTCTCTGCTCCACAGTTGCCAATTAGCACATGGCGATAAGTGCGGACTTGGTTGGCGAGTGCGTGTGTGTACATACAGATCTGCAACACATCATTAGGATTTCGTTTGGAACACAGGCCGAAATAATTCTGGTGTTAGCAATTGTTATGGCAACTGGAATGAATGGAAAGGCAACTTGTCAGAGTATAGACCGGTCAGTTGGCTTGATTAACTGACATTAAGTGAGATACCGCATTACCTTGGTTACAGCTGAGGAACTCATTACCGTTATGTTTATATATAGATCCCTCACACCACATGACCATGTAAGTAATTATAATAACACACAATGCTTGTTGAATTGGGTGATCGGACTTGTGACTTACAATATCCATCACCGGTGTGTTTGGTCCAGACTCGACTGACAACAAACCGCTAGGAAACGGCTGAAATATTGCTGAGTGCGGCGTTAAACAAGAGCAGGCTCTTATGAGACGCAATGATCGTATTCCTTTGTTAACGGTGGTATCTGACAAGATAGTTCTAGTGGTATAGCAAAGTTTATGGGACTTAAGTGTGTGTGTGTGTGTGTGTGTGTGTGTGTGTGTGTGTGTGTGTGTGTTTTCACAGAACGATCTTGGTAAACATGTCAGTGGTACATGTAATAGGACAGACAACAAGAAGGAGAAACGTGAGGCGAGGTATGTCATTTGCGCCGCGTGCCACACATGAGGAACGACCTGCCGTGTATTTCGGGCTCATACGCATGGAAATAGTGCATGGTCATTTGTGCTGATTTGGCAAAACTCGGTGAACATTTGTATCAGATCACGGAGCAGCTTAAACGTAACAGAGCATCCTCGCTACACACACGGCAAAGAATGGGTTATTATTAACTCTGTACTGATTCAACCTTCATCCATCTCTTTAAAATCCGTAAAACTAGAAATAAGACATAACCCCATTTCTTGTTTGTTGTTTACCGCCGCACTCAGCAATAAACTCAGTCTGTAAATAATCGAGTCTGGACCAGACAATCTAGTGATTAATATCATGAGCATCGATCCACGCAATTGGGATACGATGACATGCATCAACCAAGTCAGCGAGCCTAAAAGCGGCTGTCAGTGTCGTTTCCCAGACGATTGTCGCAGCGTAAAGATCGCATTGTGTAATTTACCCCATATTTTTACGGTTACACTCGAATGAATTCACCGCCTTACCTTCGATTGTTGTAATTTCACGGCGGCCGTGATAAATGCATCAATCCTGGGACATGGGGCTGTAATGGTAATTGTATAGGGAATTCAGGCATTATAATTTTGTCAATCCTATATGTTTTACTGTTATGTTGGTAGTTGCTCAGTTTCATTTTAACAAAACCTCAAAACTTTTAAATGTTGTAGAAAATTTGTCACAATGTCTTAATGCAGCATCGTACCCGGAACAGGTCATGGCTGTCTTAGTGCAGCATCGTACCCGGAGCAGGTCATGGCTGTCTTAGTGCAGCATCGTACCCGGAGCATGTCATGGTTGTCTTAGTGCAGCATCGTACCCGGAGCAGGTCATGGCTGTCTTAGTGCAGCATCGTACCCGGAGCAGGTCATGGTTGTCTTAGTGCAGCATCGTACCCGGAGCATGTCATGGCTGTCTTAGTGCAGCATCGTACCCGGAGCATGTCATGGCTGTCTTAGTGCAGCATCGTACCCGGAACAGGTCATGGCCGTCTTAGTGCAGCATCGTACCCGGAGCATGTCATGGTTGTCTTAGTGCAGCATCGTACCCGGAGCATGTCATGGTTGTCTTAGTGCAGCATCGTACCCGGAACAGGTCATGGCTGTCTTAGTGCAGCATCGTACCCGGAGCATGTCATGGTTGTCTTAGTGCAGCATCGTACCCGGAGCATGTCATGGTTGTCTTAGTGCAGCATCGTACCCGGAACAGGTCATGGCTGTCTTAGTGCAGCATCGTACCCGGAGCAGGTCATGGTTGTCTTAGTGCAGCATCGTACCCGGAGCATGTCATGGCTGTCTTAGTGCAGCATCGTACCCGGAGCATGTCATGGCTTTCTTAGTGCAGCATCGTACCCGGAACAGGTCATGGCTGTCTTAGTGCAGCATCGTACCCGGAGCATGTCATGGCTGTCTTAGTGCAGCATCGTACCCGGAGCAGGTCATGGCTGTCTTAGTGCAGCATCGTACCCGGAGCATGTCATGGCTGTCTTAGTGCAGCATCGTACCCGGAGCAGGTCATGGCTGTCTTAGTGCAGCATCGTACCCGGAGCAGGTCATGGCTGTCTTAGTGCAGCATCGTACCCGGAGCATGTCATGGCTGTCTCAGTGCAGCATCGTACCCAGACTATGACATTCAGTTGACCAGGTCACTGGCGGTAAAGACCCGTCAGTACACGAGAACTGCAGGTATTGCCTGTAAACAGTGAGTGATTATTACTCAGCGATAAATCACCCGTTGTCAATGACGTCGATAGCGTGTCAACGAACAATGGCGGCGTGAATCTTTCCTGATAATATTAAGAACTCGATTATTTACACATACACACACAGACACGCACACAGACACACGCGCGCGCGCGCACACACACACACACACACACACACACACACACACACACACACACACACACACACACACACACACACACACACACACACAGAGTTAACATGTATGGTGTCTGAAAAGGGGTCCGCCAGCTAGGGCTAGGACGAGTCCAAAGGTACTTCCCGGGTACCCACCCCCTATTACTCGACCCTACCCGGGTACCCGCTGTTTGTCTCAAGAGGTAGGTACAGACTGTCCGGAGGGAAAAGTTTGCCCTCGCAAAATGTATCATGCAGTATAAAGCGATCAGGTCATGCATGCACTGAAGTTTATTGCATTAAGTTTTATCTGTATTGAAACATATACAAGTCAGGGGTAATGGTTGCATGGTCAGAAAGAAATGGGAACATTGGTGGCTTGTAGTGTAACCATGGAGTTTTAGATAATTTTTGTCATTAAACAATAATCACGTGACTAACCACGGATCCGGGTAGTCCTGTGGGTACCCGGGTCCTACTCAGTACCCACCCGACCCGAGTACCCGAGTTATCCGTCCCAGCCCTACCGCCAGCGCACGCACGCACACTCACACACACACACACCGAACACACACACACACACGCACACACACTAAACACGCACTCACACACACACACACGCACACATTCTCACACACATTCACACACACAAACACACACACACCGCCGCAACAGGTGTTGAGATTATCGCAAAGGGTCGTGTGTTTTTTTCATGTTCTTCAGATATAATTTCTATATGGGTTGCAATCAGCACAAACCCGTTGCCATAGTCGAACATTTAAATATATCTTACAGCATGCCTGACAGAATTAAATCTTTAAATACATAACGCAACCCTAATTCGTATTGCCAAAACAGTTTTTGTGAACTTACGAACATAGAAAGTAGTCCAGTATAGTTAAAAAAAAGGTCGGTGTTCACAGCAAGTGATTTTCCAAGTGTGGCACATAAGTTAATAATTATGGAAATCCACATATACATTTGAAAAACGCAACCGCAAACGATTGCCAGGTTTTAAACGCGCAGAACCGGCACATAGAACCTTCACACGCAGATGGAACATATCACTGGTCCCTCAAAGTGGACAGGCACCAGCTAGCAAACATGTTGAATACTGCCATGATGTTGGTTGGTTTGTTGTTTAACGCCGAACTCAGCAATAGTACAGCTATATGACGGCGGTCTGTAAATAATCGAGTCTGGACCAGACAATCCAGTGATTGATATCATGATTTGGGATCGATGACATGCATCAACCAAGTCAGCGAGCCTGACCACCCGATCCTGTTAGGCGCCTTTTACGACAAGCATAGTCACCTATGTCATAACTTATTAAGTATTAACGTTCAACCCTCGATCAAACTGCGGCCACCGTGTCCCCTCATATCCGTTTAGGGTTTAACACAAGCTTTGTAATCCCCGCATCAGTTCATCGCTTCCTATCAGTTTATTAATATGTCACTAATGGGAGGCTATGGATCGACCCATCAGCCTGTGTTTACATATCGTCCCGCTCCGTGACAAGCCGAATGTTGGTTGGTTTGGTTGGTTGGTTTGTTGTTTTACGCCGCACTCAGCAATATTCCAGCTATATGACGGCGGTCTGTAAATAATCGAGTCTGGACCAGACAATCCAGTGATTAGTATCATGCGCATCGATCCACGCAATTGGGATCGATGACATGCATCAACCAAGTCAGCGAGCCTGGCCACCCGATCCCGTTAGTCTCCTTTTACGACAAGCATGGGTTGCTGAAGACCTATTCTGACAAGCCGAATATAGACACGCGAGTGGTGACGAAAAGGCTACACAGCTACCTTCGACTTAGTCTTAAGTTCAGCGATTTCCGTCATCCTCTTTTGAAGATTTCCCTCCAGTGAGCATAACGTAATCACGGGAGACGTTTGACGTTACGTCAACATCGAAACATATAGGTTTCAGACTGCTTTCACCAGCCGTCTTAAAAAAATTAGCTTTGTATGTCAATGCTTCGACGTCACTGGGCATTCATCAGGGCGGAAGGAAGACACGGGTTTTTTGGGTGAAGTTAACCTTGACTGCGTCAGTGACACACAGTTCCTTAAAGGGCAAGTTCACACGGAAATGAACCTATTTTTCTTGTACTTTTTCCACATTAAAAGTGTTAACCTAGAAGTGTCATAGACAAAAATATAAAAATATCATAATTAATCAACATATTTTTCGCATTAAAGCTATTTATATTTTTCACATTTACCAAGTGTTCTATTTCCATAACAAAAACACCATGGCTTATGCCCCTTGCAATATGACGTCATTGGTGCCAATTGATAAACATTATGACGTCAGCATGCTTTGTTAGAGCCGCTTCACGTGGTGTAGGTACATGTGTGTGATTCTTGCGTCTCAGATGCCAGCCAGCATAGTGTTATGCTGAGTCACCATTGCGCCGGAGTGTGTCGTAGGCCATGTTGTTTTACCGCAAACTGGTACTTGATTTCTTTTGCGTTGAGAATAGACAGGGACCCAGTTGAATTGGCACCAATTACGTCATAATCTAAGGGGGATAACTCAGGCCTGTTTAGCTCGAAAAACGAAGGCCTCATAACGGCATATCATTTTCACACTATTGTGAGCTTCCTACTTTCATTGTGAAACAATGAGTGCATATTTTCAAACACAGATACTAACTAATTCTAAAATTGCGTTTTGTTTAGAAAAAGAAAGAAACTAACTTTTGCGTGTACACTTCCCCTTTAACCGCAGCACATATGTTCCAAATGTATTTTCTGGACCGAACGTTATGTACAGTCATGTAATGTCAAGTATACATCAATACAAGGTAGTCTGTATGTTAGAGCTGGGACGAGTCCAAATTGACTACACGGGTACCCACATCGCTATTACCCGACCCTACCCGGGTACCCGTTACAGGGCTCAAGAGTTTGGTACAAAATGTCCGTTTGGAAATAGTTTGAGTGTAGCCCTGGTAAAATGTATTTAAATATATGTATAAAACGATCTGGTCATGCATACACTGAAGTTGACTGAAGTGTTATTTTTATTTAAACCTATAAAGGTCAGAAGCAATGGTGCTTAGGCTGAAAGAAAGGCGAACATTAGTGACTTGTAGTGTAACCATAGAGTTCTAGATATTTGTTTTTATGATTAAACAAGATATCACGTAACTAACCACGAGTCCGGGTAGTCCTGTGGGTACCCGGGTCCTACTCAGTACCCATCCGACCCGAGTACCCGAGTTACCCGTCCCAGCCCTACTGTATGTCAATACTTAACCATGAGTGAGTGAGTTTGGTTTTACGCCGCTGTTAGCAATATTCCAGCAATATCACGGCGGGGGACACCAGAAATGGGCTTCACACATTGTGCCCATGTCGGGATTCGAATCCGGTTCTTCGGCGTACGAGCGAATGCTTTAACCACTAGGCTACCCGACCACCCCAGTGAGGATAAAACTGGGGGCAGTGGAGGCAGCCAATAATGTGGTGGAGGCAGACAGAAGTGTGGCCCCAAAGCTGGAGATAGAGGTACTGCTCAAGACGTAGGATGTGGTCAACCGCCACACCAGAAATGGGCGTAACTCGACTGGAAGACAGATGGGACTCGGCCGCCCACTAACCATTAACACTGCAGCATGGCGTGGATAGTAAGACAAGGTTTTTCCTTCTCCGCGCGATCTGAAGGCACTTATTGATATACAAATTAGGGAATAAATAATAAATCGGCGCCTCCTACCATGCACCCAATTTATTCACGCATGGACTTTTAATAAAGTTAAGATACCAGCAAGAGAGAAACAGCTATAGATAGAAGATTAGTAAACGAAATCGTATAGGAAGATTAATAAATGAATAAAATATCAACAATTTCCTGGTACACGTATACAATGTATTAATGTTTCAAAGAAACTGGTTGCCATTAATTCCCTTACAACAGAAAACCAACAAGCTTCTTGTGTAATTAATCTTATGTTATTTTGTCGTCTTCTCTATTGTTAGTGGGTGGGTATAAGGCAAACTGCATTAGAGTTATTTCCCTTTGATAGTAAACTGAAAATGGCTGCTTTCTTGGATATCTTTTCTTTTCCACCAAATTTTGACATTCAGTAAGTTGTAATTATTTTCAATTAAGTTCACTTGCTTGATGTGTAGACGTGTAGGCTTGTTGCAAGTTACGTCTCTGAACCATTATTCCAAGACTTCCAGTGTGACATGTGAACGACCAGCATTACACGAGATATGTTTGGTTGTCAAAGTACTAGACCTACGTCAAAAACGAAACGGAAAGCTTTGAAAGAAAAGGATTCAGTAGTTACTAGCTAGTGGGTAGTTTTATAGGGTGTCAACATATTTCCACTGACAATGACAAAACAAGTTGCCAGTAGTTTCTCATATGTGCTTTTATTATTTTTCGATTATTACTCACAACTTTGAAATTATAAAAATATGGATGGCTTTTTACATTGATTCAAAATGTGCCCATTATGGACTATAATCGCTACTGGTCCGATGACTAGGTGTCATATCGTTGACTCTAATTAGCATCTGGTGACAATACGCCGTAATTAAATAAGCGCTGAGGAGACGACTGAGAGTTGGAGTAAATCTTGCCATAAACTTCTCGTTTTCTTGTATTCTATTGATTGCACAATGACTGCAGAAGGCAATGAAAGTGCAACTTGTAATGTAAAAAGTACTGGATATGATGTTGTTTGTTTTCTTTATTGCATTTTGCAAAATGAATCTTTTAAAGTTTGACAGCTGTTACCATCGATAAACAGAGGTTGTTATTTGATATCCATGGTACAATTCATGCCTTTTTAAATGAGCCTGTAGGGATTCTGTTTAGAATAACAATGTATACTTGTCATAAGAGGTGACTAAATGAAACAAGTTTAAGTGACTTGGTTGATTGCTAATTCTCACACAGTAACAGCTGGATGTTGCCTGAGATATCAATCACTGGTTGATGTGGTCCAAATTTGATCATTTTCAGAACGCTGTAACATACCTGAAATATTGCTCATTGCAGTGTCACAAAAAACAAACAATAACACTCTTTATGCCGGATGGGGTCAGAGAAATTGAAACGGAAATTGTTGAATTATAGTTCACAAGTCTGTAACTCTGGCTGTTATTTCATATTTGGGATACCTGGCTGGCTCAGTCATCAATGGGTGCTGTTATGTGCAATGAATCCTCTGATCGTGGGTTTGAACCACAAATTCACCCTAATTTTTATTCTTGATAACGTAACATTGTGATGTGTTTTCTTACAAGTGGTTAACTTGACCTGTTTCAATTTGATTAGGTCTTCCTCCAACATCAAGTGAACATGTCGTGATATAACTGAAATACTGTTAAAGAGTTGAACCCCAAGTCATCTTAATGTTTTCTCAGGGGACACTTTTAAATATTTTACAGAATATTGACTGACTGGAGCCAAAAGCCACAATCAGCAAATGAAATGAATCAATTGTTTAACCTTAACTTTATTTTCATTTGCTTGACTGCATTTTTTTTGATGGATTAGAAAAATAAAATGATAAAAGCAGCAACTTGTAGCTATTAACATTTTTATGATTTTCAGTCAAATAATTTTGTATGTATACAACATGATATAGTCTCTGGACACTACAAACACGTTATTTAGAAACATAAAATGTTTTCTGACTGAATGAAATAGCTGAACGTGTCACTTTAAAAGAGAGTAGGGCAACACAGGGATCCGGAAATATTTTTTTGCCAATTGGACATTTGCATTTTGGTCACGCCCACCTCATATCTGAGGTGCTAGATGTATGTGAACAAAAAGAATAAACTCAAGTGTCACTTTCATAACATATATAGTGTTCCCTCACTATTGCACGTTCAAACCTCGGTTATAGCACATGGCAGCATTAGAAATTGGCACTAGTCCTGTAGTCCTTACCAAACTGCCCAATAGTAAAGGTATTCTAAGGACTAGTCGAAATTGGCCCATTTTAAGGGGTTTTGCTATATGTTATCATTATAAGGACTAGTGGACAAAAAATGTTAGTTTCTAACCCTGACATGGTAACAATTGGCTCCCAAAATTTACCTACACTTTTAATAATGTCAAGGTTTACACTGACAATATGTTTTCCCCCCTCTCAAAAAACATTATCAGCTGATACACCGTGAGCACGTAACACCGGAAATACAGACAACAAATCCAAACTGAAATACACAATCCCATTATTATACTATCACTGGGGCGACATATTATTTTGGTATCATGAACTTCAAACAAATTTAACATTTCATTTTTCCATACCATCCAACCAACCCAAACATTTTAATGCCGGATTAAAGAATCTAATTGAGCTAGACACATTTATTTTTCTTACCACCTATACTTTTCAAACTGTTTGTAAACATTACACAAAAAAAAGTGTTGTTTAAGTTTCTCCTAGAAACCTGTGTGAAACATATTTGTTTTTGCCATTTCAGCACTCTTCCAAACAGAGACAGAAAAGTATGTGTTGTCTCCATCATTGGAAAAAGTCGTCTGAACGGATTTGCAACCAAAGCCTCAATATTAAACCCAATCCTAGAGAGAGATGTATTCATGGTTTGTGTTTTGAAATAATATTCTTACATTGATGAACGCTTTGTGTGGAATTTGGGGTAGAATTAGGGCCCAGCATATTAATGTTATGAGAGTGAATTTGGTGGTCAGGCCCTTGGATCCGGTGGTTAAATGAATGTCGTCACACACATATTGCAGGAATTGTTGCTCATAATATCAGTCACAGATTCGCCAGGTCCAAACTAGATTATCTGCAGGACATGGTGAGTGAGTGAGTGAGTATGGGTTTACGCCGCTTTTAGCAATATTCCAGCAATATCACGGTGGGGGACACCAGAAATGGGCTTCACACATTGTACCCATGTGGGGAATCGAACCCGGGTCTTCGGCGTGACGAGCGAACGCTTTAACCACTAGGCTACCCGACCGCCCCTCAGCCCGCAGGACACTGTGATCTGGCTGAAATATTGCTAACTGCATTGATGGACAACATTGACCCTCACACTGATTTTCGAAAAAAATATCACATTTGTACACATTTCTGTGCTGATATTACCTGTTTGAATTCTGAAGCAGAATAGGTACTCCTGTCACCATTATTGACAAGAGAACTGACCAATGAGAATTGAGTGGTTATAATGTGTGACCTGGTTGACGTGGTATGGATCCCCATGGTGATTCGAGATAAGAAAAGGTCAGTAATACATAAGTCACTCCTTATGCCGCAATAGTTGTACAAAAGGTGAGAAATTAATAATAATAATACCGTATTCCACGTAATAAGCGCCCAGGGCGCTCTCAAAATTAGAAATAAGGGGCTCTGATTAGAATATTGTTTTGGTGGAAAAAACAGAGTTGAAAGATAAATGTCGTGGTTTGTGCTGACGGCCTGACTGTTTATATACGACAGATATATTTTTCGAGACTTTAATTGCCAATAATTAAGGGTGCATATAACACACGAGTGCGTATTATACACGAATAAATAAGTCGTGCGTACATTGATCAATCGGAAGGGGTGCTAATTGGGATTGTTCACTTGCCAATTTATTAGCAAATATCGCTGTGGGCGCTTATTAGAGCGTTGTGCTTATTACGTCGAATACGGTAAGTGCATTTACAATGTGCCAGATTACATTCACCAAGTGGATGCTCAAAGCACTACACTATTATTGCCCCGATCAATGGATCAGTGAGCACTCAATTTTCATTCTCAGCTCCCTGGGGAGTATACAACCCAAGCTGCCTGTGAGGCGCTAGAAGGTTAACAACCACATTACCATCTCATCCTACCGGGTACCCACTCACTGCTGGGTGAACAGAGGCACATTTCGAACAAAGTCACTTGCCAAAGGAGACACCACATGTGCTACATGTGCTTCAGTGTGGGGCAGGACCGAAGCCCTAGAAACTCTCAGGAGTCAAGCTGCTGAACGTGGTCACCCATCCAACTACTCTCCGAGACCAACGTTGCTTAACTTCCCCTGATTTGTGATCTGTGCGCTGTGCACAGGACCACGTGCCACAAATTGAGGAACATTCAGCATTTATTTGGATTTAATTAAGATATATATGTACTTAATTTTGTTGTTTGTTTCACAGGGAGGAGACAGCTACATAGGTGGCCAAATTGACAAGGTAAATATTAACATCATATACTACATTGATATAGACCAGACATTACGATTTGTTACTGATTCCTTTGTCAGTGTGCAGAAAATATGCCAAAATATGCCAAAAATTAAAGATAAACATAGGTATCGATCATTTATTACAGGGGTGGGTAGGTCAGATATTTGACCCTTCCCATATCCTTGTACATTTTCTGATGGCCTTCCTTGAAAAGACAAAATGAAAAAGTACTTAATATTTTATTATAATCCATTTTTCATGACCCTCCACTAGAGACTGTCATTTTGTTTGGTGACCCTCCCCTGTTTCCTTCTGACCCAACCCTTTAATATATGACCTGTCCCTTAGATTTTAATGATGGTTAAAGAGAGGAAAAAGCCTGTTGCTGGCTGTTATTGTTATTACCGTATTCGACATTATAAGCGCCCAGGGCGCTCTCAAAATAAGAAATATGGGGCTCTTATTAAATATTATTTTGGTGAAAAGCAACAGAGTTGAAAGATCGTAAATTTCGTGGTTTTTGTTGACAGCCTGAAATGTTAATATACGAAAGATATATTTTTTTCCAGAATTTAATGACCCATAATTAAGGGTGCACATAACACACGTATTACATTGATCAATGTGATACATTGATCAATCGAAAGGGGTGATAATTGGGATTGTTCACTAGCCAATTGTTTAGCAAATATTGCCGTGGGCGCTTATTAGAGCGGGGCGCTTATTACGTCGAATACGGTATATCGACTCTTGTCAGGTGAGTTTAGTAGACCTTATCAAATGTTACTAGACTCAGGCTTTGACCTGTGGCTAAAGTCACAGACTGCTGTTGATGTGGATGTTTCTTGTTGATTTTTTTAAAAACTAAAAAAAGAGAGTGTCGGCAAGTAGATATTTGAAATCAAGTAGGAATTTTATGATAAGATTGTTAAAGTGCAAGTATCATGAAAAATAGTTACAGATTTTTCTTACATCATTACAAAGCCATTATCATGTACAATACAATCGTCAACAATGAATGTGTGAAAACTTGAAGTTAGCGCTGTTGCGCTTAATTAAAAGAACATATTTGGAGGTCTGTATTTGTCTGCAAGCTGATTGAATATCACCACCCGCCAGGTACATAGTATACACAATCGTTTCATTAGTTGTTGGGAGACCTGTGTTGTATACAGTGATCCCTCACTACAATGCGACCTTCGGGGTCCAAATAATCATCGATCCCAATTGCATGATGTCATTCACTGGATGTCTGGTCCAGACTCGATTATTTGCAGACCGCTGTCATATAGCTGGAATATTGCTGAGTGCGGCGTAAAACAACAAACCAACCAAGCAACCAAATCATTAATGAGCATTATAGACGATGAGCAGTTTAACCGAGGTGGAGTTGTAGGGGGTAGATGACCAACAAACCAAAACATAAGTTCAGATAAACAATGAACACCTTTTTATAACCAAATATCATAATAGGATTAAATTGCGTACTTCAGTTCGGATTTGTTGACTGGTATTTCTGGTGTTCGTGATCGCAGTGATCAGTTTTTTGAGAAGGGGAAGACATTGTGTCATTGGAAAACTTGAGTTTATTAAAAATGTAAGTAAATTTTGGGAGCTATGCCTTACCCTGCTATAACTGAGTTAGCGCTATATTGAAGAGCGCAATAACGAGGGAACACTGTATATGATACTGGTACACTCTGCTTATCTCGGGGGGCACGGGGGGCCCAGTCGTCTAAGGTGCCGCGATTTGCTGTGCAGAGTTGCGTCCCTTGGTCACGCCGGAAACCTATGATTGTGGGTTCGAATCCCGGTTCGCCATGATTATGTTTCTAGGTTTGTCAGCACCATACCCGTGCTGGTGGGTTTCACCGAAGTGGTTAACGTCTGAGACCTGCATCACTTCGGGTTTTCCTCCCACATTAAGCTGACACGCCGCGATATAACTGGAATACTGTTAAAAGCGGCGTTAAAACCAACTCACTCACTCACTCACTCATCTTTGAAGTGCTTTTTCAAGACTACAACGGGATATTGTGATTTGGAGAAAATATGCTAAATAAACGAACCAATTTGTGTTTTGCAATCACTTGTAATCCATGCGTCCAAAATGGGGATCATCCTGATTATATCCGTCACTGTTGTCGGTCACAGGCGGGCTTCACTTGCACTTCTTCCGAAATCACCAATTCATTTTCCATGAAACCTTCACATTCCATGATAACTTGACAAATATTGTCACTGTCAGTGTCGGACATATTGGCAAATTGTGATCAGGATAGAGCGAAAAGGAACCAAATAGGTTCGTTCGATGCTTCATCATTTTATACACAAATGCTGAATACTTTAAACACAGATAAGTCTTTCAACAAAATAAATGAACGTACCAAAACGTAATCAATAAACCAGAGACCATATACCGTATTCGACGTAATAAGCGCCCAGGGCGCTCTCAAAATTAGAAATAGGGGCCTCTTATTAGAATATAATTTTGGTGAGATTAAAAACGAGGTTGAAAGATTGTAAATTTTGTGGTTTACGCTGACAGCCTGAAATGATATAAAAGAAGAATCTGTGTGTATTATACACAATAGATATATTTTCGAGAATTAAATTGCCCATAATTAAGGGACCGGTGCATATAACAAACGATTGCGTATTATACACGAATGAATAAGTCTTGTGTACATTGATCAATCGGAAAGGGTGCTAACTGGGATTGTTCACTAGCCATTACATTAGCAAATAAAGCCGTGGGCGCTTATTAGAGCGGGGCGCTTGTTACTTCGAATACAGTAATAGATATTATTTGGTCTCTGAATAAACGCAGCTGAAGAAATGGTATGTTTCGCACATTGTATTTTTTTGTGAACTCAATTTGTTTTGTATATGCCTTTGTCACATTTCCTTTGTTGAAAGAAAGATGGGTATATTTCAATCCTTTATTCCACTGAAGGAAAGTACAGTGTACAAATGATCCCTGTTTAATTGTGGATAGGAGAATGTTAAAAATGGTGAAGAAAAAGTTCGCTTTGCTGAGAACATGTGCAGCTGACCATGACCGTGAATGATGATTGCCTGCTTGAGTGTGAACGGAGGGGCGGGCTTGTTGTGCGGTCAAGCATGTAATTTTGAAGGTAGCTTGTGCAATAAAGCGTGCAATTTTGGAGATAAATTCCTCCAACAAAACCACATATGGAGCCTCTGTTATATTAAGGCTCCAGCTTTGCTGTATTTTTGTTTCAGCCTTTGAAATTGATAGACAGGACTAAAGTGCAAATAACCGTTATCTGCACCACTTTTGATGTTTTGAATACAATATTTGAATATTTGAATTTTCGATGTTATGATCTATCCAAATCTGCAATGTTGTATTTATGTATACCCATGAGACTTGCACTTTAGACAGAATCCTTGTACATTAAGTGCTTATTTGTATTCTAGTCTAAGGCTTGTGTCTAGGAATCACACTGAATGCTATTTTCTGTTGTGTACCCTCTGTGTCTGTCTATCTGTGTTCAAGACCTGACAACTGTTGGATTTCAGGGTGACATTGAGTGTTTCTACGACAGCGACACCCAAGTAGTGTACCTCCACCACAAGTCCCTCGGGGACACACACACCCTCGTGGAGAGATGTCAGAAGATCCTCAACAACAAAACAGGGGTAACATAAATTAAAGGAAAATATTCTGTAATGGATCATCCCTATGGAAATTCTGAGGCAGATGCTGAATTTCCATGCTCGTCATGAGATTGTTGTTTTGTGTGATTGTTTGTTGTTTAACGCTGCACTCAGCAATATTCCAGCTATATGACTGTGGTCTGTAAATAATCGAGTCTGGACTAGACAGTCCAATGATTGACAACATGAGCATCGATCCACGCAATTGGGATACGATGACATGCATCAACCAAGTCAGCGAGCCTGACCACCTGATCCTGTTTGTCGCCTCTTACAACAAGCATCGTTCCCTGTTACGGCAAGCATGGGTTGCTGAAGACCTATTATACCCTGGATCTTTACGGGGTGCGCATCATTCGAGCTGACTAACATGAGTATTGGGTGTGGGACCAGGCTGTGTCACTATACAAGGACTGTGTGGGCAGATGCTCATGATTTTGACCACTGGTTTGCTTGGCCCCAAATCTATGTCATTTACAGGATGCTGTCAGCAACAGCGACATTAGGGGCGGTTGGGTAGCCTAGTGGTTAAAGCGTTTGCTCCTCACGCCCAAGAACCGGGTTTGATTCCCGACATGGGTACAATGTGTGAAGCCCATTTCTGGTGTCTCCTGCCGTGATATTGCTGGAATATTGCTAAAAGCGGCGTAAAACCATACTCACTCAACAGCGACATTCACCGATGTTCGCTTGTCACGCCATAGAACCGAGTTCGTGTACCCACACGTGTTCAGTGTGTGAAGTCCATTTTTCATGTCCCCCTCCATGATATTGCATAAAACCAGACTCACTCACTCACGGATCATAAGGTCACCTGCTCCCACATGACCTCAGAAACGGTCCCATCACTTGACTATTGTTGAATAACAATATGCTCTATGGTGTCCTTACATGGCGAGTTTTCTGGAATTTGTTATGGAACCATTTGTATTCTGAGTTAAGGTAAAGTTGGTATTTTTGTTGTTATCGTTATTTCTTTTGGTTTTCAGGATATTGTGGCCTTGTGGGAAGATGAGGACTTTAAATATGCTAAGACCATTCTACTCCTCTTAAATATTTCCCACATTGTGTTGGTGAGTATTCCAGAAGTATGAAGGTCACAGTTCCCACAAATGTGTCTTCAGCACCTCATCGTTTGTTTATTAAGGCGAAAGCTTGAGATTAACACCATTCATTCACTTGATACAGATAATCTGTAATTCCTCGGAGAGCTTGTTAGTTATTGTCTAATTCTGTACCTAGAAGGAAGATTGTTACCATGGTAACAAACAGTGGAGAATACTTAAGAACTATCATTTTTATAATGTCAAAACTAGTTACTGACAACATTTTATGGTTTAAAAGGTGTAGTTATTTTGTCCATCACGTCTCCTTTTTCCTTCAATTGAAGCTTGAAGGGTGCAGTGCAAGAGATTGGAATGTCTTTTTCAGCTGTGTCACCCAGGCAACACGTTTGACATCAGCTATGTGAAGCTGTTCAGGAGTCTGGATGCTGTCAGGTGCGTGTTGCTGTGTTGCTGTGTGTTGCTGCATGTTGCTGTGTGTTTGCTGCGTGTTGCTGCGTGTTGCTGTGTGTTGCTGTGTGTTGCTGTGTGTTTGCTGAGTGTTGCTGTGTGTTGCTGTGTGTTGCTGTGTGTTTGCTGTGTGTTGCTGTGTGTTTGATGAGTGTTTGATGAGTGTTGCTGTGTGTTTGCTGCGTGTTGCTGTGTTTGCTGAGTGTTGCTGTGTGTTTGATGAGTGTTGCTGTGTGTTTGCTGTGTGTTTGCTGTGTGTTTGATGAGTGTTGCTGTGTGTTGCTGTGTGTTTGTTGCATGTTGCTGTGTGTTGCTGTGTTTGATGAGTGTTGCTGTGTGTTGCTGTGTTTGCTGAGTGTTTGCTGAGTGTTGCTGTGTGTTGCTGCGTGTTGCTGCGTGTTGCTGTGTGTTGCTGCGTGTTTGCTGCGTGTTGCTGTGTTTGATGAGTGTTGCTGTGTGTTGCTGTGTGTGTGCTGTGTGTTTGCTGAGTGTTTGCTGTGTGTTTGCTGTGTGTTGCTGTGTGTTGCTGCGTGTTGCTGTGTGTTGCTGCGTGTTGCTGTGTGTTGCTGTGTGTTGCTGTGTGTTGCTGCGTGTTGCTGCGTGTTGCTGCGTGTTGCTGTGTTTGCTGCGTGTTGCTGTGTTTGATGAGTGTTGCTGTGTGTTGCTGTGTGTGTGCTGTGTGTTTGCTGAGTGTTTGCTGAGTGTTGCTGTGTGTTGCTGCGTGTTGCTGTGTGTTTGCTGAGTGTTTGCTGAGTGTTTGCTGAGTGTTGCTGTGTGTTGCTGCGTGTTGCTGTGTGTTGCTGTGTGTTGCTGTGTGTTGCTGCGTGTTGCTGTGTGTTGCTGCGTGTTGCTGTGTTTGCTGCGTGTTGCTGTGTTTGATGAGTGTTGCTGTGTGTTGCTGTGTGTGTGCTGTGTGTTTGCTGAGTGTTTGCTGAGTGTTGCTGTGTGTTGCTGCGTGTTGCTGTGTGTTTGCTGAGTGTTTGCTGAGTGTTGCTGAGTGTTGCTGTGTGTTGCTGCGTGTTGCTGTGTGTTGCTGTGTGTTTGCTGAGTGTTGCTGTGTGTTTGCTGAGTGTTGCTGTGTGTTGCTGCGTGTTACTGTGTGTTGCTGTGTGTTGCTGTGTTTGATGAGTGTTGCTGTGTGTTGCTGTGTGTTTGCTGTGTGTTTGCTGAGTGTTTGCTGAGTGTTGCTGTGTGTTGCTGCGTGTTGCTGTGTGTTGCTGTGTGTTTGCTGCGTGTTGCTGTGTTTGCTGCGTGTTGCTGTGTTTGCTGAGTGTTGCTGTGTGTTGCTGCGTGTTTCTGAGTGTTGCTGTGTGTTTGCTGTGGGTTGCTGTGTGTTTGCTGTGTGTTTGCTGTGTTTTGCTGCATGTTGCTGTGTGTTTGCTGCGTGTTGCTGTGTTTGCTGAGTGTTGCTGTGTGTTGCTGCGTGTTGCTGAGTGTTGCTGTGTGTTGCTGTGTTTTGCTGTGTGTTTGCTGAGTGTTGCTGCGTCTTGTTGTTTGTCGCTGTGTGTCAAAGGATTGTATAGGACCCGTGGAGGTGCGGGTAGAGAATAGGTCTTCAAACCTATGCGTGCTGTAAGAGCCAACTAACGGGTTCAGTTGGTCAGACTTTCTGATTTGATTGATGCATGTCATCATATACCAGTTGCGTAGATCGATGCTCATGATGTTGGTCACTGGATTGTCTGGTCCAGATTTACACATAGCTGTCATATAGCTGGAATTTTGCTGAGTGCGTCGTTAAACAAGAAAGAAAAAAAAAAAAAAAGATTGTATAGAGAAATGGGGGAATACACGGCTCTAGTGAGTTTTACCAGACAAAAATAATTGCATCCTAAATACAATACAAATTTAGAATGGGGGACTCAGTTAAATCCCAGCAGTCTGTATTCAGTGTGTGTCTCATCTCCAGCAGGTTCAAAGTCAATCTCATTAAAATCAGATCTTAGTTCTCGCTACCACTAAACAAAGACCTGAGGACATAATTGGTCATGTCAGAACGACATTTCATCCAACCAATCAGATCGTCACTTACCAGATTAGGAAAGTGACAGTTGGAATGTGTTTTCCAATCATGAAACCTCAAATTTTTGGGGTAATCCAAACGACAGTTGCTGTTTGTACGACTGACATCATCGTCTATCTCTCAGTGGGATGAACATTTGAACGGAAGTGACTTTACAGAGCCAGTGGGAAGTACTGCCATGCAATCTAGGCCATCTACTGACATTCCTGAATGTTCTTTTCTTCTGTTTTCAGTTTTAGTTAGTTGATATTTATCAAAGCGTAGTCTGGAATGGAAGTCGCCAGATTGAAAGTAGTGCTGTAAAGCTCGAGAAAGCAGCTTTCTGATTGGCAAATGTCAGTCATTTCATTGGTCGGTCAAAGTTCGCGAAAGGTCGTTCTGATTTGGCCTGTAATGGGATCTTTGTTTAGCGATAGCGAGAACTAAGATCTGAGTTTAATGAGATTTGCAGAAAGTTACCTTCCTACTAAATATTATAATAATATTATTGCATCAATTTCGACCAATTTTCCCGCCTGAATGAATTTCTTGTTTTAAGAAATCTTTCCTGAATATTATCATAAGAAAATTCAATGATTTGAATTAACTCCATGTCTTTTCTTTTCTTTGTAAGTGTTTCACATCCTTAAAGCACTTAACATCGATCCAGAAACTATTGAGCTACGACCATAACAGCTGTGAGTTTCGGAGCCAAATGCACTCATAATCAGGATTATGGCTTGTGTCTTTGACAAATAATTCATATAATTCGTGATCATGGGGGTCGTTGGCCACACTGACTGACTGACTCAGTCACAAGCGAGTATGTATTGAGTTTTCTATCAGTAAGGCGCCACGATTCGCTGTGCAGAGTTGCGTCCCTTGGGCATGCAGGAAACCTATGATTGTGGGTTCTAATCCCGGTTCGCCCCATTTATGTTTCTTGGTTTGTCAGCACCATACTGTGCTCGTAAGTTTCACCGAAGTGGTAAACGTCTGAGACCTGCATCACTTCGAGCTTTTCTCCTACATTAAGCTGACATGCTGTGATATAACTGGAATACTGTTAAAAGCGGCTTAAAACCCAACTCACTCACTCTATCAGTTATGTTTTGTGTTCAGAATGAAGCTGCAGACCTTCATGACAGAAACACTTCAAGGACTGTCCATATCTAAGGACTGGTTGCTAGGAGCTCGACCTTGTTCGCCCCGCCTGCTGTTTTATTTTGACACACCGACTTTTGAGATGGCCCCTGATGACATCGACACAGGAAAACCCAGGGCTTTGGTACAGTGACATTATTAACATTTATTCCTTTTAGGTAGTTGACAAAAAGCAAATGAATATACATTTATTAATATCAGTGGTGAGGTGAGGTGAAATGGGGTTTAATGCAGCGTCTAAGATTATTGCACTTATATAGCGACGTGCATGCACGTGTGTGTGTGACTGCTTGTACTAGTCCGGACTGATGCCGATTTATAGTGCTAGCCCACTGAGATACCATGCTGCAGTGTAACATGAATACCCCACTCAGACACAGTATACCGACTCCGAGCCGACCAGTCCTTGTTTTAGCCCCTTAATGCCGAGCACCAGACAGGGTAACAGGGTAACAACAAGTATCTTTTAACGTCGATTGGTATGACGCGGCCGGGGATCGAACCCCCGACCTTCCGCTCTCCGGGTGGACGCTCTACCACTAGACCACGGAGGCGGTCAAATATCGGTGGTCTCAGGTCACTCAGTGATAGAAGTTTGTTATTGGACAAAATTAGTCTTTACTTGCTGTACGTCTTCATCTTTGTCATGCAGGACAACCTCATTACATGAACCCATGACACTACATAGCATGATTAAGGCAGATGTATTGTTTAAATGATAATGGAATATTTGTTTGTTTTTCATTTCACAGAAAAATCCACCACTTAAGAGACTTGTGCACAATATTGAAGACCAGATCTACAGAATATTGAGAAAGTCGAGAATCATCACAAATATCAGGTAAATACTTGGGGATGCTTCAGTTTTGAAAGGTTACGAGTTTGAATAGTGGCTTGTATTGTCTTAAGAACTGAGTGCTGTATATTCTTATTTTGTCTGATATTCCTATGCCCCATCCAAATTCTTTTTATCAATATTTTGGAAGACTTTGGAACAGTGAATATTATGTCCTTTGAAATACAACAAATTGATTAATCTGAGAATATGTTACCGCAGGCAAAGGCACCAAATATTTCTGCGTTTGAATTTCTTGTGCTCTTATGTGTGGTGCTTTATTATGTCTGCCTACATCGTGTCTGCTGGTGCCATGTCTGCAGGTGCCACATCTGCTGGTACCATGTCTGCCGATGCCACATCTGTTAGCATCATGTCTGCTGGTGCCATGTCTGCCGGTGCCACATCTGCAGGTGCCATGTCTGCCGATGCCACATCTGTTGGCATCATGTCTGCTGGTGCCATGTCTGCTGGTACCATGTCTGCCAGTGCCATGTCTGCTGGTGCCATGTCTGCTGGTGCCATGTCTGCTGGTGCCATGTCTGCTGGTACCATGTCTGCCAGTGCCATATCTTCAGGCATGTCTGCTGGTGCCATGTCTGCTGGTACCATATCTGCTGGTACCATGTCTGCTGGTGTCATGTCTGCTGGTGCTATGTCTGCTGGTGCCATGTCTGCTGGTACCATGTCTGCCAGTGCCATATCTTCAGGCATGTCTGCTGGTACTATGTCTGCCTGTACTATGTCTGCTGGTATCATGTCTACCAGTACCAAATCTTCAGGCATGTCTGCTGGTGCCATGTCTGCTGGTGTCATGTCTGCTGGTGCCACATCTGCAGGTGCCATGTCTGCCAGTTCCATATCTTCAGGCATGTCTGCTGGTGCCATGTCTGCTGGTACCATATCTGCTGGTACCATGTCTGCTGGTGTCATGTCTGCTGGTGCTATGTCTGCTGGTACCATGTCTGCCAGTGCCATATCTTCAGGCATGTCTGCTGGTACTATGTCTGCCTTTACTATGTCTGCTGGTACCATGTCTACCAGTACCAAATCTTCAGGCATGTCTGCTGGTGCCATGTCTGCTGGTGTCATGTCTGCTGGTACCATATCTGCTGGTACCATGTCTGCTGGTGCCATGTCTGCTGGTGCCATGTCTGCTGGTACCATGTCTGCTGGTACCATGTCTGCTGGTACCATGTCTGCCAGTGCCATATCTTCAGGCATGTCTGCTGGTACTATGTCTGCCTTTACTATGTCTGCTGGTACCATGTCTACCAGTACCAAATCTTCAGGCATGTCTGCTGGTGCCATGTCTGCTGGTGTCATGTCTGCTGGTACCATATCTGCTGGTACCATGTCTGCTGGTGCCATGTCTGCTGGTGCCATGTCTGCTGGTACCATGTCTGCTGGTACCATGTCTGCTGGTGCCATGTCTGCTGGTGCTATGTCTGCTGGTGCCATGTCTGCTGGTGCCATGTCTGCTGGTGCCAAGTCTGCTGGTGCCATGTCTGCTGGTACCATATCTGCTGGTACCATGTCTGCTGGTGCCATGTCTGCTGGTACCATGTCTGCTGGTGCCATGTCTGCTGGTGCCATGTCTGCTGGTGCCATGTCTGCCGGTGCTATGTCTGCTGGTACCATGTCTTCCAGTACTATGTCTGCCAGTACTATGTCTGCTGGTACCATGTCTGCTGGTGCCATTTCTGCTGGTGTCATGTCTGCCGGGGCCAAATATGCCCGTGCGATGTCTGCCGGTGCCATGTCTGCTGGTGTCATGTCTGCCGGGGCCAAATATGCCCGTGCGATGTCTGCCGGTGCCAAGTCTGCCAGTGTCATGTTTGCTTGTGCCACTTCTGCCGGTGCCAATTCTGATGGTGCCATGTCTGTCGTTGCTGTGTCTTATGAACTTAAATTGGTACACAATCACATAATGTATCACCTGATATTGCTGTTGTATTGCTGTTGTATTGTCTGTGCAGCAACAACTCACTGTTTGCTGTGCCCGCCAACCAGGAGTTTGTGTACGTCAACAGTCGACCAAATGAAGCCACCGACCCCATCACCGTGTTCCTACAGAACCTTCGCATCAACTCAGCTGTTGCCAAAGATTCAGGTAAAGATGGAGATCAGGAATGTTAATTTTATTCTCAGGTTTACCAGTTTCATAGCGTAAACATGTCTCAGATATTGTGATCTCCATTTGACTCCCACTACTTGTATTACCAATAGACTGAGACATGATGATAAGTTGTAGTAGCTTGTACACACGTGTTTGGACGTTACATGACGGGGTTTTATCTAGATCTGCTCAGAGGCTGATTATCAGACTAAAGCCTGCATGAAATGACAATGCTTGCCCAATTTCTCAGAATTTACTAAAAAATAACATTTAAATTTTGTTACCTTACCTGATGCTTCACAGTGCTTTAGCTTCCCTACCTTTACAAGCAGTAAGTACTGGAACAGAGAAACAGTTAAAACAGAGTACAGCCCATGCCCCCATACCCCGGAGATACCCACCTCTCCTGTACTACCTCATATTCTTCTCTGTCATGGGCCCAGTCGTCTAAGGCGCCGTGATTCACTGTGCAGAGTTGTGTCCCTTGGGCACGCCAGAAACCTATGATTGTGGGTTCTAATCCCGGTTCGCCCCGATTATGTTTCTAGGTTTGTCAGCACCATACCCGTGCTCGTGAGTTTCACCGAAGTGGTAAACGTCAGAGACCTGCATCACTTCGGGCTTTCCTCCCACATTAAGCTTACACGCCGTGATATGACTGGAATAATGTTAAAAGCAGCGTTTAAACCCAACTCACTCACTGTCTGTCTGCCTACACGACGGCAGTGCTAGTGAACAGAATCTTACCTTTTATATTTTTTTAGTTATCTTGACGCTTTATGCAGGTAAACTTTTACATTGTTTACATTTTTTTAAGAATGTATTCTATGTGATGTGTATTGTGTATACGACCCAAGTCAGGGAAAGCCCCCATCAACTTTGTCCTAACTGAAGCCCACGATGTACTTTTGACAATCAATGTCCTGTATGCTCTGCTTTATCTATAGAAGATTTTACATATTACAGAAAGGCTTTTCTTAAGCGCACAAAACAACTCAAAAGGAAGAAGATGTCAGCCCTCTTCACCTCCTCCATTCCCGACCTCTCCTCCTCCTCCGTCAATCATTTCCTCACCTCCCCCTGCTACCTCAATGAACTCCTCCACGTTGATGCCAGCACCAGTGCCTCTGAGGCTTGGTCCTCAGACAACACCCTCCGGCTGACTTCTTTGACCCTTTGTCCATCTGGGCACTACTCCTCAAACACCGTCTCTGCCACATTTCAGCGAGAGTCTCGCCAGTGCCAAACAATTGCCTTATTGCCACTCCCGCCACTCATCTGAGATTCTTTCTCGCTGGTCTGCTCATTCCCATTGCTGCAAGAGATCGCCTGCCGATCACCCTGATTCATCATTACTTCACCTCACCTCCAGTGCCAAGGTCCTCCACCTCCAGTGCCGAGGTCCTCCATCTCCCGTGCCAAGGTCCTCCACCTCCAGAGCCAAGGTCCTCCACCTCCCGTGCCAAGGTCCTCCACCTCCAGTGCGAGGGTCCTCCACCTCCAGAGCCAAGGTCCTCCACCTCCCGTGCCAAGGTCCTCCACCTCCAGTGCCGAGGTCCTCCACCTCCCGTGCCAAGGTCCTCCACCTCCAGAGCCAAGGTCCTCCACCTCCCGTGCCAAGGTCCTCCACCTCCAGTGCCAAGGTCCTCCACCTCCAGTGCCAAGGTCCTCCACCTCCTCCACCTCCAGTGCCAAGGTCCTCCACCTCCCGTGCCAAGGTCCTCCACCTCCCGTGCCAAGGTCCTCCACCTCCAGAGCCAAGGTCCTCCACCTCCAGAGCCAAGGTCCTCCACCTCCCGTGCCAAGGTCCTCCACCTCCAGAGCCAAGGTCCTCCACCTCCCGTGCCAAGGTCCTCCACCTCCAGAGCCAAGGTCCTCCACCTCCAGAGCCAAGGTCCTCCACCTCCCGTGCCAAGGTCCTCCACCTCCAGAGCCAAGGTCCTCCACCTCCCGTGCCAAGGTCCTCCACCTCCAGTGCGAGGGTCCTCCACCTCCAGAGCCAAGGTCCTCCACCTCCAGAGCCAAGGTCCTCCACCTCCCGTGCCAAGGTCCTCCACCTCCCGTGCCAAGGTCCTCCATTGCCAAGGTCCTCTTCCTCCAGAGCCAAGGTCCTCCACCTCCCATGCCAAGGTCCTCTTCCTCCAGTGCGAGGGTCCTCCACCTCCAGAGCCAAGGTCCTCCACCTCCAGAGCCAAGGTCCTCCACCTCCCGTGCCAAGGTCCTCCACCTCCAGAGCCAAGGTCCTCCACCTCCCGTGCCAAGGTCCTCCACCTCCAGTGCGAGGGTCCTCCACCTCCAGAGCCAAGGTCCTCCACCTCCAGAGCCAAGGTCCTCCACCTCCCGTGCCAAGGTCCTCCACCTCCAGTGCCGAGGTCCTCCACCTCCCGTGCCAAGGTCCTCCACCTCCAGAGCCAAGGTCCTCCACCTCCCGTGCCAAGGTCCTCCACCTCCAGAGCCAAGGTCCTCCACCTCCCGTGCCAAGGTCCTCCACCTCCAGTGCGAGGGTCCTCCACCTCCAGAGCCAAGGTCCTCCACCTCCAGAGCCAAGGTCCTCCACCTCCCGTGCCAAGGTCCTCCACCTCCCGTGCCAAGGTCCTCCATTGCCAAGGTCCTCTTCCTCCAGAGCCAAGGTCCTCCACCTCCCATGCCAAGGTCCTCAAACCTCTAGTGCCAAGGTCCTCCACCTCCCATGCCAAGGTCCTCCACCTCCAGTGCCAAGGTCCTCCACCTCTAGTGCCAAGGTCCTCCACCCAGAGTGCCAAGGTCCTCCACCTCGAGGGCCAAGGTCCACACCTCCACTGCCGAGGTCCTCCACCTCCAGTGCCGAGGTCCTCCACCTCCAGAGCCAAGGTCCTCCACCTCCAGAGCCAAGGTCCTCCACCTCCAGTGCCAAGGTCCTCCTGCTCCAGTGCCAAGGTCCTCCACCTCCAGTGCCAAGGTCCTCCACCTCCAGAGCCAAGGTCCTCCACCTCCAGTGCGAAGGTCCTCCACCTCCAGTGCCAAGGTCCTCCACCTCCCGTACCAAGGTCCTCCAACTCCAGTGCCAAGGTCCTCCAACTCCAGTGTCCTTGCGTTGGGACGTCCATATCACCTATACTTATAGACAAGGCTGCCGAGGTAGCTCTGGAGGCACACAAACGAGGAGCATCAGCCTCGACCTACAGGCTCGACACATCCTCTGGTTCATCTTTTGGGGTCAGCAGTTTCAGTGGAGAATGCTCCCATTTTTTCATTTCCTCAGTCCTGTGGTTATTCACTGCACTGGAGGAGGATTTGTTTCAAAGCCTACACAGACGACTGCATCCCAGCCCACTGTGTCCCGCACCTCCTGTCTCGTCAGAGGGACGTCAGCTTCATCAACAAACTGATCCAGGTCCTGCCTGCCAGATTTGAAGCCATTCAATACAAGGTCCAGTGAGCCATGTGTCAACCCTCGACCCCTGCCAGTGGCAGACCCTTCTCGGTATTCTGACCTCTGCACAGGAGCTCTCCTCCAGGTGTTGCCGACAACTGTGTCCCCTTCAGAGCTTCCTACTTCCATATCTTCGCCTCAACCTGACATCAAGTCCCATCTGTCTTCCAGTCGAGTTACGCCCATTTCTAGAGTGGCGGTTGACCACATCCTACGTCTTGAGCAGTACCTCTATCTCCAGCTTTGGGGCCACACTCCTGTCTGCCTCCACCACATTATTGGCTGCCTCCACTGCCCCACAGTATTATCACCACTGTCCTAGGGCTTCCACGAGTCCAAATTTTTGGACTCGAGTACCCGAGGGGTGGAACCTCGACTCGTACTCGAGTACCCGAAAATAGGACGTCCTTTAAGAATATTGGTTCATTAGATCAAAATTGCCATCTAAAAGTATTAAAACATGTTATAAGTATAATTGAACTGCACTGATATGTAAATAGGAAGCGTCCACGGAACTTGTTTATCTGTCAAAGTGTATGGAAGTGTTCAGTGTTAATGTTTGCTTGTAACTGCACTAATCTTAATCACGGCCTTCAAAAATATTACGTCACGTCTACAAATACTACAATACATCTTGAACACAAACCAAGTTTTTTTCTGACGATCAGCATTTCATTCGACACCAAGCACGAACAATAATTCGCAGGAAGAAAATCAATAATGTGCATCACGTAACATACACGTTTTAACAGCTTCTGGGCTGCAAGACTAAGGCCGCTAAATATGGAAATGTAGTACTATAAGTTCATTCATTCATGAGTTTTCAAACTGCACCAAACTGTCGACCTGTCGCTTGATTTGTAAGCACTGAAATAGCACATATACATGTATACCAGCTAATCAGTTGTTAATCTGTGTAAGGGAATACACTTGGCATTTGAGTCGGAGCAAAGAAGCAATAATCGCCTTAATACATTCAATATCTTAAAGTCGGGAAGGAAAAACAAGAATTACGTCTATTTTATGTGACATTCTCAATTGTTCTAATGTACATCTACTTTCTACAAAGAATACATTATTCAAACAATATTAAAACAGAGTGATCTCCCCTTATCGAGTACTCAAGTCTTTGATAACGGCCTCGAGTCCCACTAAAACCGACCCAGCCCCGAGTACTCGAGTACTCATTGAAGCCCTACACTCTCCGCGCTGTGCCTGTTTCCATACAGAGAAAAATATGAGGGGGTAGGGGCCAAGGTGGATAACTCCAGCGTATGTGGCCGCGGGGCTTTCAACTGTCTCCCTGTTCCAGTACTGTCCGTTTGTAAAAGGTAGGGAAGTTAAAGCACTGTGTAGCCTCAGGTAACATTGCATTTTTCCTTAAATGCTAATTTTTGGGCATTATCATGACTTAGTTTTGAATCCTAGATAGTCTGTATCCTGTCAGTAGAGATAATCTGATGATCATCAAAAAACATCTTCACGTGAAAGCATTTCATTTCTGTCTTAAAACCAGAAATGAAAATTATGTTATGATAGACTTCTTGAAAGTCTGCTATAGCAACGCACAGTCTCATTAAGATCAGAATATTTTACTTTGATACGATACTTCTCTGCAGAAAGCTAACATCCGATTGGCTGGAGAATCCACCCTACTTTCATTTTAGCGATCAAAGTTTGCTATTGGTTCACCTTATGTGACCCCCTCTGGTGGTCTTCTCAGAGTGGTATCATATGGGAGTTTATCACATGATTTAAATGAGAATTGTACCTAGCCTGATTATGATATCTGTAGCATACAAGGCAAACTTGCTTGACTTGTTTATTGTTCCTGGAGTTGAAGATGAAGATACCGTATATCGCTGTGTATAAGGCGAGTTTTTCGTACCTAAAATGAGGGGGCTAAGAAGGGGGGTCGTCTTATACACGGAGTCGAAGATCTCACATTTTTTTCCACTGGCGATGTCAACTGGCGTCCGATAGCCAGCCCAGCATTTGACAATAAAACTTCGCATTTCGTCCTAAATAACTGTTCCAAGAACTATTTCCATACATAAACATGATTTTGTATCTCTTTTCCTTGAATAAAGTTTAATAATTTCTGCAAATAAAGTTGAAATGACTCTCTCCTCGATGCAGATTGTCAAACCACCTGACACGGTAAAACAATCAACATCCATGAGTAGAGAGCCGGAAGTACCGGTAATCATTTGCATATTGCACATGTGACCTAACATGTGATAACCGGTGAAGCTGAAATCAATTCCCGCTGTTTTTACAGTTGTATTAACAAGTGTTGGAGACGGTGTGTACAAGTGATTGTGGAATAAACACGCTGAATGTGAAGCAAACATAAGCCTAGTTAGTTACAACATAGTTAATTGGCGATTAAATTACTCACCATTGTCTCTTATATGTTATTACTTCATAAATGAATTTTATTTTACGGGCACCAATTTGGTGTCGTACCGTGTAAACACAAAATGGCGACGTGTGCCGGAGTTACACACGCGACCTATCATTGTAGAAAAAAACAACGCAAGATAAACATATTTTTATTGCATATATAAGGTTTGTGTGCGCACTTGTGATGTGTGCGAAATACGCATCAGTCGGAAAGCGCACATTAAATCTCCAAAGTAACTAACTAATTTGTGATGTCCGTGTGCGAAATACGCTACAGTCGGCAAGAGCACGTTAAATCTTCTACCGGTATATCAGTCAGACTTGTGATGTGTTTCATTCCAGGTCGCCTTATACACGGAGTATAGGATTTTGGGTTGATTTTTAAGGCGTGTACAGGGGGGTCGTCTTATACGTGGGGTCGCCTTATACACAGCGATATACGGTAATTAAAAAATGTTAGATTGTATCTACTTCTGTTTACATGATCAAATGATCAGATTATATATTACTATGATAACACATCTGGTTCATATCACAGAGTCCCCACGTAGTCGCAGCTATGCGACCAATCGCCGCACGAACCAGGCATCTGGGGACACACTGAGGACGACAGTGACAATGTTCAGTCGACCAGAGAACAGCTTCAAGGAGTTTCTGTGGCAGCACATAGACCAGGCTTTCACCAAGGGCTTTGATGACAATGTCGGTAGAAACCCAGTCCCTGCCGTGTTTGAGGTGAATGAATGTGTCTTTTTTTGTATACTACCCATGCTTGTCTCTCATGAGGATTCCAGGGTAGGGTAGGTCCCCAGTACCCATGCTTGTCTCTCATGAGGATTCCAGGGTAGGGTAGGTCCCCAGTACCCATGCTTGTCTCTCATGAGGATTCCAGGGTGGAGTAGGTCCCCAGTACCCATGCTTGTCTCTCATGAGGATTCCAGGGTAGAGTAGGTCCCCAGTACCCATACTTGTCACTGATGGTGATTCCAGGGTGGAGTAGGTCCCCAGTACCCATGCTTGTCACTCATGGTGATTCCAGGGTGGAGTAGGTCCCCAGTACCCATGCTTGTCTCTCATGGTGATTCCAGGGTAGGGTAGGTCCCCAGTACCCATGCTTGTTGCTGATGGTGATTCCAGGGTAGAGTAGGTCCCCAGTACCCATGCTTGTTGCTCATGGTGATTCCAGGGTAGAGTCGGTCCCCAGTACCCATGCTTGTCACTCATGGTGATTCCAGGGTGGAGTAGGTCCCCAGTACCCATACTTGTCACTCATGGTTATTCCAGGGTAGAGTAGGTCCCCAGTACCCATTCTTGTCACTCACACAGATTCCAGGGTAGAGTAGGTCCCTAGTACCCATGCTTGTCACTCATGGTGATTCCAGGGTGGAGTAGGTCCCCAGTACCCATGCTTGTCACTGATGGTGATTCCAGGGTAGAGTAGGTCCCCAGTACCCATGCTTGTCACTCATGGTGATTCCAGGGTAGAGTAGGTCCCCAGTACCCATGCTTGTCACTCATGGTGATTCCAGGATGGAGTCGGTCCCCAATACCCATGCTTGTCGCTGATGGTGATTCCAGGCTAGAGGAGGTCCCCAGTATCCATGCTTGTCTCTCATGAGGATTCCAGACCTCATCTGTTGCTATCAACCACTGGCAGGCTTGTCCCAACTACATTATTAGCAGGCTATTGTTATACGGGTGGAACATTGCTGACTGAAAAGTGATATAGCATGAGGTTGACGAGCACGAGATGCACACTGTGTTTCTTCATGCAGATGGCCAGCAGTGAGACATGGTTTGCTGTGGCTATCCGGCTGTACAAGTTCTTCTTCTCCGACTCCCCTGAAGGGAAGGTGTCAACCCACCTCACCACACTCAGATCCCTGCTGGAGACAGACGTCAGGTTCTCAGAAAAGTAAGACATCTTTAATAGAGTTTTAATACCAAATCACGCACACTGGGACAACATCATGTGCTCATCCTAAGACATATACAGTGTTAATGGTGAGGTGACATCGGGTTTAACATGGCATTCAAGATTATTGCACTTATATATGACGTAGCAACGAGAGAGCGAGAGACATCAAGGACTATCTTTTAACCTCTTTTCGTATGATGAGGCCAGAGGACAAAACCACAGACTGTCCGCCCTCGGGGCAGACACTTTATCCTCTAAACTACGGAGACGGTTATAGTGTTAATGGGATCTTTCAGATAAATATACTACTCAAAACAAGTTAAGGAACACCCACAATTGGAAGGCTGTGTGTTGCAAGACCAACCAGCCATGACAGATTAACTATAGTCATATACAAATGGGTGTTCTTTAACTTCTTTTGAGTAGTATATATGAATCACAAAATGGCATGAATGCTCAACTTTTTTGTTACAGTGCTAGCAGTGTTTTAGTGTTGATTCTAACACTGTTATAAACAATACTTTGTTTGAGATCTTTTAATGCCACTCAAAGATCAAGATTATTATCAAAGATATATTTTTTTCAAATGAAGTATTACCATACTGTTTCTATGAAAAAATGATAAGGGGAGCTTACTTTGACAGTGTGAACCATTTTTGTTCTGTCTCCTGTAGCCGATGCTCCAAGATCTTGCCACTAGCTGAGAGTGCCTACCAACAAGACTTGCCTCAACACTACATCACCACCTACCATCTGTCGAAGGTGAGTGGCCAATATAATGTTATTAGAATGTTATCAGAAACCATCAGAATATCTGCAAAACCATCATGAGAATATCATAACATTTTCATGACATAATCATGTGAGTATTATGACAGTATCAGAATGTGACCATCAGAATATCTTCAAAATACCTTCACAGTGTTATCAGAATATCTTCAAAATACCTTCACAGTGTTATCAGAATATCTTCAAAATACCTTCACAGTGTTATCAGAATATCTTCAAAATACCTTCACAGTGTTATCAGAATATCTTCAAAATACCTTCACAGTGTTATTAGAATATCTTCAAAATACCTTCACAGTGTTATCAGAATATCTTCAAAATACCTTCACAGTGTTATCAGAATATCTTCAAAATACCTTCACAGTGTTATCAGAATATCTTCAAAATACCTTCACAGTGTTATCAGAATATCTTCAAAATACTTTCACAGTGTTATCAGAATATCTTCAAAATACCTTCACAGTGTTATCAGAATATCTTCAAAATATTTCGGGTAGCCTAGTGGTTAAAGTGTTCACTGGTCACGCCGAAGACCCGGGTTCGATTCCCGACATGGGTACAATGTGTGAAGCCCATTTCTGGTGTCCCCCGCCGTGATATTGCTGGAATATTGCTAAAGGCGGCGTAAAATCAAACTCACTCACTCACTATTCTTCAAAATATCACAATGTCATAACAATATCATCAGAATACCATCACAGTGTTATCAGAATAACATCAAAATATCACAATGTCATTACAATATCATCAGAATACCATCACAGTGTTATCAGAATATCATCAAAATATCACAATGTCATTACAATATCATCAGAATACCATCACAGTGTTATCAGAATATCATCGAAATATTACAATGTCATTACAATATCATCAGAATACCATCACAGTGTTATCAGAATATCATCAAAATATCACAATGTCATTACAATATCATCAGAATACCATCACAGTGTTATCAGAATATCATCAAAATATCACAATGTCATTACAATATCATCAGAATACCATCACAGTGTTATCAGAATATCATCGAAATATTACAATGTCATTACAATATCATCAGAATACCATCACAGTGTTATCAGAATATCATCAAAATATCACAATGTCATTACAATATCATCAGAATACCATCACAGTGTTATCAGAATATCATCGAAATATTACAATGTCATTACAATATCATCAGAATACCATCACAGTGTTATCAGAATATCATCGAAATATTACAATGTCATTTCAATATCATCAGAATACCATCACAGTGTTATCAGAATATCATCAAAATATCACAATGTCATTTCAATATCATCAGAATACCATCACAGTGTTATCAGAATATCATCAAAATATCACAATGTCATTTCAATATCATCAGAATACCATCACAGTGTTATCAGAATATCATCGAAATATTACAATGTCATTTCAATATCATCAGAATACCATCACAGTGTTATCAGAATATCATCAAAATATTACAATGTCATTACAATATCATCAGAATACCATCACAGTGTTATCAGAATATCATCGAAATATTACAATGTCATTTCAATATCATCAGAATACCATCACAGTGTTATCAGAATATCATCGAAATATCACAATGTCATTAGAATATCATCAGAATACCATCACAGTCTTATAAGAATATCATCAAAATATCACAATGTCATTTCAATATCATCAGAATACCATCACAGTGTTATCAGAATATCATCAAAATATCACAATGTCATTTCAATATCATCAGAATACCATCACAGTGTTATCAGAATATTATCGAAATATCACAATGTCATTACAATATCATCAGAATACCATCACAGTGTTATCAGAATATCATCGAAATATCACAATGTCATTACAATATCATCAGAATACCATCACAGTGTTATCAGAATATCATCAAAATATCACAATGTCATTACAATATCATCAGAATACCATCACAGTGTTATCAGAATATCATCGAAATATCACAATGTCATTACAATATCATCAGAATACCATCACAGTCTTATCAGAATATCATCAAAATATCACAATGTCATTACAATATCATCAGAATACCATCACAGTGTTATCAGAATACCATCGAAATATCACAATGTCATTACAATATCATCAGAATACCATCACAGTGTTATCACAATATCATCGAAATATCACAATGTCATTACAGTATCATCAGAATACCATCACAGTGTTATCAGAATATCATCAAAATATCACAATGTCATTACAATATAGTCAGAATACCATCACAGTGTTATCAGAATATCATCGAAATATCACAATGTCATTACAATATCATCAGAATACTATCACCAAGACCTATTCTCCCCCAGGTCTTCACTGGTCTTCTTTCATGTGGATTCTGTGGTTAGGGCTAGAAGTGTCTGTAAGGACAAACCTGTGTGTTTGTATTAATCCATTTGAAGTTTTTGTTGTCAAAACAGGACATAATGAATGCAAGCACCATTGAACAGCCAAAAGTTAGATATAAGTCGCTATATGAATAAATTTGTCTTGTTATTACTTGTTGTTCCAGCTAGCTCAAGCGAAGCGCGTGTTTGCCCAGTTTGCGCGAGGTCCTGCGTTTGACAAGTACATGGTGCAGCTGGAGGAGGCATGCGAGACCTGGTGGAAGTCAGGACACCAGCAGTGTGAGGCTGTCAGTCTCACCGGCAACCTGTGTATGAACCCTGTAAGTCTCTCCGGCAACCTGTGTATAAACCCTGTAAGTGTCTCCGGCAACCTGTGTATGAACCCTCTAAGTCAGTCTCACCAGCAACCTGTATATGAACCCTGTAAGTCAATCTCACCCGCAACCTGTGTATGAACCCTGTAAGTCAGTCTCACCAGCAACCTGTATATGAACCCTGTAAGTCAATCTCACCCGCAACCTGTGTATGAACCCTATAAGTCTCACCGGCAACCTGTGTATAAACCCTGTAAGTGTCTCCGGCAACCTGTGTATGAACCCTATAAGTCTCACCAGCAACCTGTATATGAACCCTGTAAGTCAATCTCACCCGCAACCTGTGTATGAACCCTATAAGTCTCACCGGCAACCTGTGTATAAACCCTGTAAGTGTCTCCGGCAACCTGTGTATGAACCCTATAAGTCTCTCCGGCAACCTGTGTATGAACCCTGTAAGTCTCTCCGGCAACCTGTGTATAAACCCTATAAGTCTCTCCGGCAACCTGTGTATAAACCCTATAAGTCTCTCCGGCAACCTGTGTATGAACCCTGTAAGTCAATCTCACCCGCAACCTGTGTATGAACCCTGTAAGTCTCACCGGCAACCTGTGTATGAACCCAGTAAGTCAATCTCACCTGCAACCTGTGTATGAACCCTGTAAGTCAATCTCACCCGCAACCTGTGTATGAACCCTATAAGTCTCACCGGCAACCTGTGTATAAACCCTGTAAGTGTCTCCGGCAACCTGTGTATAAACCCTGTAAGTGTCTCCGGCAACCTGTGTATGAACCCTCTAAGTCAGTCTCACCAGCAACCTGTATATGAACCCTGTAAGTCAATCTCACCCGCAACCTGTGTATGAACCCTGTAAGTCAGTCTCACCAGCAACCTGTATATGAACCCTGTAAGTCAATCTCACCCGCAACCTGTGTATGAACCCTATAAGTCTCACCGGCAACCTGTGTATAAACCCTGTAAGTGTCTCCGGCAACCTGTGTATGAACCCTATAAGTCTCACCAGCAACCTGTATATGAACCCTGTAAGTCAATCTCACCCGCAACCTGTGTATGAACCCTATAAGTCTCACCGGCAACCTGTGTATAAACCCTGTAAGTGTCTCCGGCAACCTGTGTATGAACCCTATAAGTCTCTCCGGCAACCTGTGTATGAACCCTGTAAGTCTCTCCGGCAACCTGTGTATAAACCCTATAAGTCTCTCCGGCAACCTGTGTATAAACCCTATAAGTCTCTCCGGCAACCTGTGTATGAACCCTGTAAGTCAATCTCACCCGCAACCTGTGTATGAACCCTGTAAGTCTCACCGGCAACCTGTGTATGAACCCAGTAAGTCAATCTCACCTGCAACCTGTGTATGAACCCTGTAAGTCAATCTCACCCGCAACCTGTGTATGAACCCTATAAGTCTCACCGGCAACCTGTGTATAAACCCTGTAAGTGTCTCCGGCAACCTGTGTATAAACCCTATAAGTCTCTCCGGCAACCTGTGTATAAACCCTGTAAGTGTCTCCGGCAACCTGTGTATAAACCCTGTAAGTCTCACCAGCAACCTGTGTATAAACCCTATAAGTCAATCTCTCCAGCAACCTGTGTATGAACCCTGTAAGTCTCACCGGCAACCTGTGTATGAACCCTGTAAGTCAATCTCACCCGCAACCTGTGTATGAACCCTGTAAGTCAATCTCACCAGCAACCTGTGTATGAACCCTGTAAGTCTCACCGGCAACCTGTGTATGAACCCTGTAAGTCAATCTCACCAGCAACCTGTGTATGAACCCTGTAAGTCACTCACCCGCAACCTGTGTATGAACCCTGTAAGTCAGTCTCACCCGCAACCTGTGTATGAACCCTATAAGCCTCATCGGCAACCTGTGTATAAACCCTATAAGTCAGTCTCACCCGCAACCTGTGTATGAACCCTATAAGCCTCATCGGCAACCTGTGTATGAACCCTATAAGTCAGTCTCACCGGCAACCTGTGTATGAACCCTGTAAGCCTCATCGGCAACCTGTGTATGAACCCTCGTGTTGTAGCTATGAGTCCTCCATGTTGTAGCTGAGTCCTCCATGTTGTAGCTATGAAATCCTCCATGTTGTAGCTGAGTCCTCCATGTTGTAGCTATGAGTCCTCCATGTTGTAGCTATGAGTCCTCCATGTTGTAGCTATGAGTCCGCCATGTTGTAGCTGAGTCCTCCATGTTGTAGCTATGAAATCCTCCATGTTGTAGCTATGAGTCCATGTTGTAGCTATGAAATCCTCCATGTTGTAGCTGAGTCCTCCATGTTGTAGCTATGAGATCCTCCATGTTGTAGCTGAGTCCTCCATGTTGTAGCTATGAGATCCTCCATGTTGTAGCTATGAGTCCTCCATGTTGTAGCTATGAGTCCGCCATGTTGTAGCTGAGTCCTCCATGTTGTAGCTATGAAATCCTCCATGTTGTAGCTGTGTCCTCCATGTTGTAGCTATGAGATCCTCCATGTTGTAGCTGAGTCCTCCATGTTGTAGCTATGAGTCCTCCATGTTGAAGCTATGAGTCCTCCATGTTGTAGCTATGAGTCCGCCATGTTGTAGCTGAGTCCTCCATGTTGTAGCTATGAAATCCTCCATGTTGTAGCTATGAGTCCATGTTGTAGCTATGAAATCCTCCATGTTGTAGCTGAGTCCTCCATGTTGTAGCTATGAGATCCTCCATGTTGTAGCTGAGTCCTCCATGTTGTAGCTATGAGATCCTCCATGTTGTAGCTATGAGTCCTCCATGTTGTAGCTATGAGTCCGCCATGTTGTAGCTGAGTCCTCCATGTTGTAGCTATGAGTCCTCCATGTTGTAGCTATGAAATCCTCCATGTTGTAGCTGTGTCCTCCATGTTGTAGCTGTGAGATCCTCCATGTTGTAGCTGAGTCCTCCATGTTTTAGCTATGAGTCCATGTTGTAGCTATGAAATCCTCCATGTTGTAGCTGAGTCCTCCATGTTGTAGCTATGAGATCCTTCATGTTGTAGCTGAGTCCTCCATGTTGTAGCTATGAGATCCTCCATGTTTTAGCTATGAGTCCTCCATGTTGTAGCTGAGTCCTCCATGTTGTAGCTGAGTTCTCCATGTTGTAGCTATGAGTCTTCCATGTTGTAGCTATGAGTCCTCCATGTTGTAGCTATGAGTCCTCCATGTTGTAGCTATGAGTCCGCCATGTTGTAGCTGAGTCCTCCATGTTGTAGCTATGAAATCCTCCATGTTGTAGCTGTGTCCTCCATGTTGTAGCTATGAAATCCTCCATGTTGTAGCTGAGTCCTCCATGTTGTAGCTGTGTCCTCCATGTTGTAGCTGAGTCCTCCATGTTGTAGCTATGAGATCCTCCATGTTGTAGCTATGAGTCCTCCATGTTGTAGCTATGAGATCCTCCATGTTGTAGCTGAGTCCTCCATGTTGTAGCTATGAGATCCTCCATGTTTTAGCTATGAGTCCATGTTGTAGCTATGAAATCCTCCATGTTGTAGCTGAGTCCTCCATGTTGTAGCTATGAGTCCTCCATGTTGAAGCTATGAGTCCTCCATGTTGTAGCTATGAGTCCGCCATGTTGTAGCTATGAGTCCATGTTGTAGCTATGAAATCCTCCATGTTGTAGCTGAGTCCTCCATGTTGTAGCTATGAGATCCTCCATGTTGTAGCTGAGTCCTCCATGTTGTAGCTATGAGTCCTCCATGTTGTAGCTGAGTCCTCCATGTTGTAGCTATGAGTCCTCCATGTTGTAGCTGAGTCCTCCATGTTGTAGCTATGAGTCCTCCATGTTGTAGCTGAGTCCTCCATGTTGTAGCTATGAGTCCTCCATGTTGTAGCTATGAGTCCGCCATGTTGTAGCTGAGTCCTCCATGTTGTAGCTATGAAATCCTCCATGTTGTAGCTATGAGTCCATGTTGTAGCTATGAAATCCTCCATGTTGTAGCTGAGTCCTCCATGTTGTAGCTATGAGATCCTCCATGTTGTAGCTGAGTCCTCCATGTTGTAGCTATGAGATCCTCCATGTTGTAGCTATGAGTCCTCCATGTTGTAGCTATGAGTCCGCCATGTTGTAGCTGAGTCCTCCATGTTGTAGCTATGAGTCCTCCATGTTGTAGCTATGAAATCCTCCATGTTGTAGCTGTGTCCTCCATGTTGTAGCTGTGAGATCCTCCATGTTGTAGCTGAGTCCTCCATGTTTTAGCTATGAGTCCATGTTGTAGCTATGAAATCCTCCATGTTGTAGCTGAGTCCTCCATGTTGTAGCTATGAGATCCTTCATGTTGTAGCTGAGTCCTCCATGTTGTAGCTATGAGATCCTCCATGTTTTAGCTATGAGTCCTCCATGTTGTAGCTGAGTCCTCCATGTTGTAGCTGAGTTCTCCATGTTGTAGCTATGAGTCCTCCATGTTGTAGCTATGAGTCCTCCATGTTGTAGCTATGAGTCCTCCATGTTGTAGCTATGAGTCCGCCATGTTGTAGCTGAGTCCTCCATGTTGTAGCTATGAAATCCTCCATGTTGTAGCTGTGTCCTCCATGTTGTAGCTATGAGATCCTCCATGTTGTAGCTGAGTCCTCCATGTTGTAGCTGTGTCCTCCATGTTGTAGCTGTGTCCTCCATGTTGTAGCTATGAGATCCTCCATGTTGTAGCTGAGTCCTCCATGTTGTAGCTATGAGATCCTCCATGTTGTAGCTGAGTCCTCCATGTTGTAGCTATGAGATCCTCCATGTTTTAGCTATGAGTCCATGTTGTAGCTATGAAATCCTCCATGTTGTAGCTGAGTCCTCCATGTTGTAGCTATGAGTCCTCCATGTTGTAGCTGAGTCCTCCATGTTGTAGCTATGAAATCCTCCATGTTGTAGCTATGAGTCCATGTTGTAGCTATGAAATCCTCCATGTTGTAGCTGAGTCCTCCATGTTGTAGCTATGAGTCCTCCATGTTGTAGCTGAGTCCTCCATGTTGTAGCTATGAGTCCTCCATGTTGTAGCTGAGTCCTCCATGTTGTAGCTATGAGTCCTCCATGTTGTAGCTGAGTCCTCCATGTTGTAGCTATGAGTCCTCCATGTTGTAGCTATGAGTCCTCCATGTTGTAGCTGAGTCCTCCATGTTGTAGCTATGAGTCCTCCATGTTGTAGCTGAGTCCTCCATGTTGTAGCTGAGTCCTCCATGTTGTAGCTATGAGTCCTCCATGTTGTAGCTATGAGTCCTCCATGTTGTAGCTATGAGTCCTCCATGTTGTAGCTATGGGTTCTCCATGTTGTAGCTATGAGTCCTCCATGTTGTAGCTGAGTCCTCCATGTTGTAGCTATGAGTCCTCCATGTTGTAGCTATGAGTCCTCCATGTTGTAGCTATGAGTTCTCCATGTAGCTATGAGTCCTCCACGTTGTAGCTGAGTCCTCCATGTTGTAGCTATGAGTCCTCCATGTTGTAGCTATGAGTCCTCCATGTTGTAGCTACAAGTCCTCCATGTTGTAGCTATGAGTTCTCCATGTTGTAGCTGAGTCCTCCATGTTGTAGCTACAAGTCCTCCATGTTGTAGCTATGAGTCCTCCATGTTGTAGCTATGAGTCCTCCATGTTGTAGCTGAGTCCTCCATGTTGAAGCTGAGTCCTCCATGTTGTAGCTGAGTCCTCCATGTTGTAGCTACAAGTCCTCCATGTTGTAGCTATGAGTCCGCCATGTTGTAGCTATGAGTCCTCCATGTTGTAGCTATGAGTTCTCCATGTTGTAGCTGAGTCCTCCATGTTGTAGCTACAAGTCCTCCATGTTGTAGCTACAAGTCCTCCATGTTGTAGCTATGAGTCCTCCATGTTGTAGCTGAGTCCTCCATGTTGTAGCTACAAGTCCTCCATGTTGTAGCTATGAGTCCTCCATGTTGTAGCTATGAGTCCTCCATGTTGTAGCTGAGTCCTCCATGTTGTAGCTATGAAATCCTCCATGTTGTAGCTATGAGTCCATGTTGTAGCTATGAAATCCTCCATGTTGTAGCTGAGTCCTCCATGTTGTAGCTATGAGATCCTCCATGTTGTAGCTGAGTCCTCCATGTTGTAGCTGAGTCCTCCATGTTGTAGCTACAAGTCCTCCATGTTGTAGCTATGAGTTCTCCATGTTGTAGCTGAGTCCTCCATGTTGTAGCTACAAGTCCTCCATGTTGTAGCTATGAGTCCTCCATGTTGTAGCTATGAGTCCTCCATGTTGTAGCTGAGTCCTCCATGTTGAAGCTGAGTCCTCCATGTTGTAGCTGAGTCCTCCATGTTGTAGCTACAAGTCCTCCATGTTGTAGCTATGAGTCCGCCATGTTGTAGCTATGAGTCCTCCATGTTGTAGCTATGAGTTCTCCATGTTGTAGCTGAGTCCTCCATGTTGTAGCTACAAGTCCTCCATGTTGTAGCTATAAGTCCTCCATGTTGTAGCTATGAGTCCTCCATGTTGTAGCTGAGTCCTCCATGTTGAAGCTGAGTCCTCCATGTTGTAGCTGAGTCCTCCATGTTGTAGCTACAAGTCCTCCATGTTGTAGCTATGAGTCCTCCATGTTGTAGCTGAGTCCTCCATGTTGTAGCTATGATATCCTCCATGTTGTAGCGGAGTTCTCCATGTTGTAGCTGAGTCCTCCATGTTGTAGCTGTGTCCTCCATGTTGTAGCTATGAGTTCTCCATGTTGTAGCTGAGTCCTCCATGTTGTAGCTATGAGTTCTCCATGTTGTAGCTACAAGTCCTCCATGTTGTAGCTGTGTCCTCCATGTTGTAGCTATGAGTTCTCCATGTTGTAGCTGAGTCCTCCATGTTGTAGCTGAGTCCTCCATGTTGTAGCTGAGTCCTCCATGTTGTAGCTGCACCGGCTGCTGACAGAGGAGGAGACTGATGCCAACAATGTCCTCCCTGTGTCCAGTCACTCCAGCCAGCTCAAGTCCAAGGCAGCCTGTAACTGTGGCCAGACTCAGGCAGACAAGGATGACCCGTTTGATCACATGGTAACATTGTCCTTTACAACTTAATATTGACGTTTCTACAGGAGAGGCTTCATTTTCACTGATGGTTCATTTTATCACACTGAACATTTATACATGGTATTAATCAATCTTTGTTCATGAATTGTCCCAAGCAACCTTTGCCAGTCGTAAGAAGCGACCAAATGGATTGAATGGATTAAAACTTAGCCAGAATAGCAATCCGCAGTGGACACCCTCACTTTATTTCCTGAACCACATTATAACTTTATATCTTGCCTCACCTTGTTACATTTTGTCCCGTATGAGACATCTGACTACACTTAGTAACGTTAGGAAAGGCCATACAACAGACTCTTCAGGAAAGATGACATCTCAAACAAGAGTTACTTCCCTCTGATAAAGAAAATTCCACAATCTGGCTGACTGATGGATTGTGACGAAAGGCAATCACTGTTCGAGAAAGTAGAATTTATTTGTGTCAACAATTGTCGTTTTGCCTATATGTACTTACGCGACTGTCTAAGAGCAGGTTTCAGTTGGAACTATATTGACTGACGTCACTGTCCAACAAGCTCATCACTGACCATGTAAAGTAATGTGGAGATGTGCAGATTCAAGGAAAACTTGCCATGTCACTATTTTGTGAGAATAGTTTTTTGATGAAAGTTTAAGAATATAGAAAGGCTATCACGCTTTTGTGTTTAGGCATGGAAGATATCCTGTGTTTGGAATAAACACTGTATTCAGCTTGCTAAAGCTTGCAAAATACAATGTTTGTTCCTGATGCATTCTCCAAAATCACTTGAAAAACACATGAAAACCTCTACATATCACTCACTCACCCTGCGACCCATGAAGATTCCGCGGTAGAATACGTCTTCAGCAACTAATACTTGCCAAAAAATGCGACTATGCTTGTCTTAAAGGCGACTAACGGGATCGGGTGGTCAGGCTCGCTGACTTGGTTGATACATGTCATCGATCCCAATTGCGTGGATCGATGTTCATGATATTAATCACTGGATTGTCTGGTCCAGACTCGATTATTTATGGACCGCTGTCATATAGCTGGAGGGGCGGTCGGGTAGCCTAGTGGTTAAAGTGTTCGCTCGTCACGCCGAAGACCCGGGTTCGATTCCCGACATGGGTAAAATGTGTGAAGCCCATTTCTGGTGTCCCCCGCCGTGATATTGCTGGAATATTGCTAAAAGCGGCGTAAAACCATACTCACTCACTCATATAGCTGGAATATTGCTGAGTGCGGGGTTAAACAACAAACCAACCGACCAACCACTCACCCTGCATTGATTCCCGTGTTTCCAGTACGCCAACTATGAGTTTTACAAAGCCTTGGAGGAAACATGTTGCAGCAAACTGGAGCACATGGACTTTCCAGTGTTCAAACCCAGCACGAGTGAGGTCCGAGCAGGTCAGGTGACCCCTGTGGTGGCCAAGGCACCTCACCTGAAGACAGGGCTGAGGGACAGTCTCAAGTCGGAGGGGACAGGATCCGGTCTCACTAACCTCAGTCTGGCTCTCAGTTTAGGTAGGTGATTTCAAATATGGGAGCCCTGATATGACCAGGGTGCCGTTGTGCAAAATAACCTTAGCACTATGACTGTCAGTGAGTTGGGTTAAATGCCGCTTTTAACAGTATTCCAGTTATATCGTGGCGTGTCAGCTTAATGTGGGAGAAAAGCCCGAAGTGATGCAGGTCTCAGGCATTTACCACTTCGGTGAAACCCACAAGCACGGGTATGGTGCTGACATACCTAGACACATAATCAGGGTCAACCGGGATTCGAACCCTCAATCATAGGTTTTTGGCATGCCTAAGGGACGCAACTCTGCACAGCGAATCGTAGCGCCTTAGACGACTGGGCCACCCATGCCCCCTACGACTGTCATAAGTCTATGTTTAAGGTATGGGAGTTATGATCACCTTAGCGCTAAGATTGCTTTGTACCACGTTACCCTGGTGTTTTCACTCCATATTTGCCCTGATAATAATCCTTGATCCATCATCATAATGCCTGTGCTTGTAGGTTTCACCAAGATTGTAAAAAAACTAAGACCTATGTCATATTTGGCTTACCTCCAAACATTAATTGAGGCTTTTGATTCAGAATTCACCCCACAGGCGAGGAGGTAACATTAGTGCCAAGCCAAAACGTCAAAGCAAGTTATTTTATCAAGTAAAAGACGCATTTGGAAGACAAATCCAATATGATCCAAACTAGGGAAGTATTAGTAACGAAAAGTAATCATCATCATCAAGGGGTTTTAGTAGCCATTTAGAAGATGGAAGAACATGGAACTTGAATCTTTTATCTGGATATCAACCTCTTTATTGTTTCTTGCAGTGTTAAAGGGTTACTTGTTGCTCCTTCATCAGGTGATAAAGTGGCAAGAAGTTGCCCTGAAATGTCGTTACAAACAAGAGAGAAGTTGTTATTTTAGTTTTAATGTCTTCATCATCAAGAGGTTTTGAAAAGTGACACCCGTTTTCTTGAGAACACTTTCCTCGTCTGTGAATTATTGTTAGCCTGCTTCAATCTGGTATTAACTTGTCATGTTTGGTACCACAGTATTTGTGGTTCTGTTGACCATTGAGCCTCTAGTGCACCAACCTTTACCGAGATGGCGTCTACATTTCCCCACAGCACTGTGATTAGGCAGTCCACACTGGACAACAAAGGGAGTGGAGAGAATAAGAATATAAGGCTTAAAAAAAATAATAGTCTTGGTTCTCAGGCACCGCCCGCATCATCATAAAGTTCGCCCGTTTTGTTTATATTTCAATTATTTTTTTTAAATATATAAAAAAGTCCACCTTGTATTCCAGTATTTTACTGATCAAGGGATTCTTTTATGTAGGGAGGCCCTCTCCCAGGTTGATTTTACACAACTGTTTTATTGATTACACAACTGTTTATTAGTTACTACCCCCAACCCCCCCAAAAGACACCGCCCGCTCGCCCGCACTATATTTTTAAAAACCATTGCCTGAGAACCAATTCTTGTGATTTTTTAAGCCTAATTTAAGAAATAAATAATTCTAAAGTCTTATACAAGTATTGTTTATTGGCTGCAAGAAACAATGATAAAGGAGCCAGAAAGAAAAAAATTGTTTTTAAACAGATCATAGGATTACTCCCCATCTATTGACCTACTTTGATGTTTGTTAAATTACTTTTATTAGTTAACTGACATGACTGAAAGATAATGTATTTTTGTCCACAATTTATAAGTTTTTCGTTGGCAGATCTGTAAACAAATTAATTAAAAGAAACACGTAAACAATGAGTTGTGTCCTGTGCAGGTCAGTCTGGGGGAAGTGACCTCACATACGGTCATCGGAGTGAGTCGAGTCTGAACCCAGAAAACAGTCAGCAGGCTGACCCTGGCCACCAAACGGAGACGTCCGAGCCAGAGCAGGTGCAGCAGCATCCAGGTGAGCTATACTGCAGCGAGATATACTTGATGCCTAGATCTGTAGTGAGATATATTTACACCTAGGTTTGTAGCAAGATATATTTTACACCTAGGCCATCACACACAGACTACCAGAGCAGGTGCAGGATCCAGGTCTAATATACTTCTGTAGCAAGATAAACTTTACACCTAGGTCTGTGACAATATATACTTTACACTTACACTTGATGCGATATATATTATACACATAGGTCTGTAGCGGTATATAATTTACACTTACATCTGAAGCGATATATATTTGACACCTAGGTCTGTAGCGATATATAATTTACTCTTACATCTGAAGCAATATATATTTTACACCTAGGTCCATAGGAATATATACTTTACACCAAGGTCTGTAGCAAGATATAAATTTACACCTAGGTCTGTAGCGATATGTACTTTACACCTAGGTCTGTAGCAAGATATATTTTACACCTAGGCCATGACACTGAAACTGCGGAACCAGAACAGGTGCATCCAGGTGAGCTATAGTTTTGTAGCGAGATAACTTTATACCAGGTCTTTAGTGCTGTTTTCTTTACTCAAGATCTCTAGTGCTGTATACTTTACACCAGGTCTGTAGTGCTGTATACTTAACACCTTGGTCTGCAGTTCTGTATTCTTTAAACAAGGTCTTTAGTGCTGTTTTTTCTTTACACTTAGGTCTGTAGTGCTATACACTTTACAGCTTGGTCTGTAGTGCTGTATATTTTACACCAGGTCTGTAGTGCTGTATACTTTACACCTTGGTCTGCAGTTCTGTATACTTTACACAAGGTCTTTAGTGCTGTTTTTTCTTTACACTTAGGTCTGTAGTGCTGTATACTTTACACCTAGGTCTGTAGTGCTGTATACTTTACACCTAGGTCTGTAGTGCTGTATACTTTACACCTAGGTCTGTAGTGCTGTATACTTTACACCTAGGTCTGTAGTGCTGTATACTTTACACCTAGGTCTGTAGTGCTGTTTACTTTACACCAGGTCTGTAGTGCTGTATACTTTACACCAGGTCTGTAGTGCTGTATACTTTACACCAGGTCTGTAGTGCTGTATACTCTACACCAGGTCTGTAGTGCTGTGTACTTTACACCAGGTCTGTAGTGCTATATACTTTACACCAGGTCTGTAGTGCTGTATACTTAACACCAGGTCTGTAGTGCTGTATACTTTACTCCAGGTCTGTAGTGCTGTTTACTTTACACCAGGTCTGTAGTGCTGTATACTTTACACAAGGTCTGTAGTGCTGTATACTTTACACCAGGTCTGTAGTGCTGTATACTCTACACCAGGTCTGTAGTGCTGTATACTCTACACCAGGTCTGTAGTGCTGTATACTTTACACCAGGTCTGTAGTGCTGTATACTTTACACCAGGTCTGTAGTGCTGTATACTCTACACCAGGTCTGTAGTGCTGTATACTTTACACCAGGTCTGTAGTGCTGTATACTTTACACCAGGTCTGTAATGCTGTATACTTTACACCAGGTCTGTTGTGCTGTATACTTAACACCAGGTCTGTAGTGCTGTATACTTTACACCAGGTCTGTAGTGCTGTTTACTTTCACTAGGTCTGTAATGCTGTATACTTAACACCAGGTCTGTAGTGCTGTATACTTTACACCAGGTCTGTAGTGCTGTATACTTTACACCAGGTCTGTAGTGCTGTATACTTTCACTAGGTCTGTAATGCTGTATACTTAACACCAGGTCTGTAGTGCTGTTTACTTTACACCTAAGTCTGTAGTTCTGTATACTCTGCACCAGGTCTGTAGTGCAGTATACTTTACACCAGGTCTGTAGTGCTGTATACTTTCACTAGGTCTGTAATGCTGTATACTTTACACCTTGGTCTGTAGAGCTTTATACTTTACACCAGGTCTGTAGTGCTGTATACTTTACACCAGGTCTGTAGTGCTGTATACTTTTCCCAAGTGATGACTTTGTACTGAAACATTTTTGACACCTTGCAGCTACCACAGAGCTGAAAATCAGTAACAGTGCCACGAGACAGCACTCTACGACCGAGTATCTGCCGGGGATGATTCACTCCGACTCCCCATCCGGACTCCTGCCCAAGTTCTGTTCGTGGTCCCTGTGTAGTCTCGGACCATCCAGCATGTACATGCACACACAAGGTAACTTGCACATATTCCTTTCACAGGTCAGCTGGTCTCAGCATCATGGTCAAGTGTGGCCGCCCTTGTATCTCTTCTGGGGTGCGGGTGGCCCAGTCGTCTAAGGCGCCGCTATTCGCTGTGCAGAGTTGCGTCCCTTGGGCACTCCAGAAACCTATGATTGTGGGTTTGAATCCCGGTTCGCCCCGATTATGTTTCTAGGTCTGTCAGCACCATACCCGTGCTCTTGGGTTTCACCGAAGTGGTAAACGTCTGAGACCTGCATCACTTCGGGCTTTCCTCCCACATTAAGCTGACACGCCGCAATAAAACTGGAATATTGTTAAAAGCGGCGTTAAACCCAACTCACTCACTCACTAACCTTTCACAGGTCAGCTGGTCTCAGTTAGCAACCAGCTTGTCGGGATACCAGGATCCCCTTTCCCCCAAGCTTGTAGTGAGAGGGTGTGATCTGGATGACTGTCTGGTTTGCCCGGTCCAGATTCAGTTAATTACAGGTCATGATGACCTAGCAGGAATATTGTGGTCTGAGTCAAGAAACAACATCCTCTCATGCAAGTTGGAAACTCACTTCAGCAGCTGGCAAACTGATCAAGGAGGCCCCATTCAAGCGTCGGTCGCGACAGATATATAGAGGTTATCACGCGAGTGTGTTTGGGGATGGTAAATATCCTGTATTAGGAATAAACATTGTATTTAGCAAGCCTTGGTGAGCTAAATACATAGTCCTGTCAAAACGTTAAGAAGTGCAATCAGATGTACACACAGCGACAAAACGAAACAAGGTATCAATTCAAACATATTTCGGCCAAATCCAACTATTTTAATTTGTGGAAAAGGTTTCAAGGAGCAGAGGTCTACAAGCACAGATATGGCTACTGATACCGCTTGGCTAGGCCTAGTGCCCTCGCAAAATTGTTTCGAAATTTATATCTCCAAAGTTTCTAAAACTTATAAAATGCCTTAGCGACGTCACAGTTAGAAACTGATTTTAAGTATATTAGACTGTTCTTTTCATAATGATAGCAATCATCTCTGTAGTTTATCCAGATTCCCGATGGTTAATTCTGACTCGATTGCCGAATGACAAGGGCGTAGCCATGTTTGTTTATAAACACTGAAAGTAGTCCCTACTTGACCTTTGATATTTGCATCTCTATCCGAATATGACCCCAACGGATATTGTTTTTATCCGTTGGCTTTATCCTGCCGAGAAACCTACCCATTATATTATAAATACAAGTATCATATGTCCTTGTTTATGGTATAGGTGTCACAACAGATGTATACAAGTTTGTATGTATGTCTGTTTTTGTTATTTAACGTTGCACTCAGCAATATTCAAGCTATGTGACGGTGGTCTGTAAATAATCGAGTCTGGACCAGATTGATATCATTAGCATCGATCCGTGTAATTGGGATACAATGACATACATCATTTAAATCAGGATCTGGTGGTCAGGGTCGCTGATAGTCGCCTGATACGACAAGCATGGGTTGCTGAAGACCTATTCTAACTCCAGTGATTGACATCATTAGCATCAATCCATGCAATTGGGATACGAGGACATACTGCGACATAAAAAAGACAAACCATGAAGCAACCAAACTAGATCCTTGTGAATTGTGTGAGAGGGGGGGACAATATTGGTTCAGGTCAAGTGTAGAACTTAAGGGTCTCCTTGCATTGGAATTAGTCTGTGCTGCCAATGCTTCATGTACAAGGCGACGTGGAGGATCAGGTGGTCAGGTTCGGTGACTTTGTCATCCTACCCCAACGGCCTGGATTGGTGATATTATAATATATATCACTAGTTTGTCTGGTCCGAACTCAGTTACACACATAATGCTGGTATATGCCTGAGTACAGTGATAAATAACAACCAAAATAACAGATAAGTCTGTTGTATCAAGTGTTGAGGACATGACAAGGCACTATCTGTCAGATTTACTTTGGCAACTGAATATAGTGTAAACTGCCAAGCTGTTGAACATGTGAAGAAGTCTGCTGCGCTTTCCCTTAGGTCTGGACCTACCGGGCTTCCTGCAAGGGAGCAACTTCCTGCTGCCCTGGGACATCACGGTTCGCACTGAGAAGGAAAAATGGCCGACAGTCGGCGAGACAGCAGGGAAGAAAGCTCGACAGAGGCGGCTTCCTATCAAGGGTAGGGAGATGAACATTTCTCTACAGAATTTTTTCTTTTTTTTCTTTTATTGTTTTTAGAAAGACGCACCTGTTACATAAATGGGCTTCCGCCCAGGGTAGCAGAAAGCCCATGACATAAAGCACAACTTATCAGTACATCTTACTTTGTTGTTTTTTTACAGAAAATAACATACTTCTCACTCACACATTCACTCTTGTTTATATATCATATTGCAGTTTAGGAAAGTACATGGTCTCAAACATTAAAATCATAAGTACAAAACTAAAATTAAATTGAAAGCTGCTCCTCATTTTCGAAAAGTTGATGATACAGCATCCAAGCACCATAGAATTTCTGTTGATTACCTGTCTTGAAAGCAATATCTTTTTCAATGTTGAATCGTGAAAAAGCTTCCTTTTTATAAACATGAAAATAAGGTTTTGTATTTTGGAATTTGCATCTATAAATATAGTATTTTGCAATTAGTAAAAGTAAATCAAACACTTTATCTGTTTTTATGTTCTCTTTAACTCCAAAAAGTATCAATTCTGCACAAAATGTCATATTATAAACATGAAAGCACTGGTCGATCCACAATGACACTTCATCCCAAAATTGTTTTATTACATCACATTCCCAAAACAAGTGAGTAATTGTTTCCTTTTCATTGTGACAGAATGAGCACATCTCTACAGAATTTTTATTTCTTATCCTATCGCACGTTTCCAGCTTAAGATAACAAAGCACCTCAACACATCCAAGCCATCTCATTGGCTACCATCACCCCAATAGCCTGTGCCTACAATCACCAGAGTTATGATGAAATACGATTTCGACCACATATATTGAAAATATGACGCCTGTGTTATTTGTACACTTTTAACTATATCATTATTGGTTTCCTTGGCCATGAAAACATAGTATTAGACACCAAAATTGTGTTTGTAAGTGCATTAGAAGTGAAGATAATCGAAAATCGGTGGTGGCCATCTTGTTTTTCGCATCTAAAAAAAATTCCTCAATGGTGCCAGTCTGGCACCCGGCTGATTTGGGTTCAGGATAGCTCAGAGATGATGAATCAACCAAAAATTTCATAATGACGCCAAAACATGCTTTTTCATTATGATGCCCTTCATATGTTTTAGGTTTAGTCTAATGTCTTTTTATGGTCAAAACTATCAAGAAATCACGTATACATCAACTGGATGTAAACATTAACATCATGCGAAATGAAAGTATATAAATATATGTAAATTTCAAGTTATATTTATCAGATTGTTTGTGGAATATTTTACAGCCCTTCACGGTTATTAAACTTAACCTGCAAAAACATGTGGCAGTGGAATTGGTTGATGTTATTCTGTTTTCTTACAGAGGTAGGGGAGGTCACTCTGCGGGTGTTCCTGGGTAATGAGTATGAGTGTCCTCGAGGTCACCGTTTCTTCTGCAGCGGTCCTGAGAAGATAATAAAAGTTTCAAGCACCAGCACTGTGAAGGTGAATATGGACATCAAAGTTTACGACGGAAATGTTTTTGTGCCATGTTTGTACAGTTGTAAATTGAAAACGTATCAGTGTTATGAAATATCTGATTCCTTGTAAGCCAGTGTATGTATTCTTGTATCTTGAACAGGATATAATTATCAGGGGTGAGAATTTTAGTGAAAATTGATGGCGAAAATATCGATCCTCATCCTTGAATAATGTTGACCATTCCAGGACAATGCCAACAAGCTACTGACCATGGACATGCCTCTGTACTGCCCCTGTCACTGCAGGTGAGTCAACCTTTGTCTTGCTGTAGGCAGTCATACATGCCACAAAGCTTGGTATTTTACAGAACACATTTGTAATTTAATGGCCGTCTGTAAATAATCAAGTCTGGACCAGAAAATTCAGTGTTTGACATCATGAGCATTGGAATACGATGACATTCATCGACCACGAGATCCCGTTAGTCACCCCTATGGCAAGCATGGGTTGCTGAAGACATACTCTGATCCAGATATTCATGGGCTGGTTTTTAAATCAACATTTATTGTGGGTAATATATAGAATAACCTCCACAGCATGATCTAACCACTGGGGCTGCAACGAATACACTATGAGGCAATACGATTCATATCACGAATATAGGGTAATGAATACGAATATTAATTCACAATTACAATAACAAGTCAGCAGTTTATGTAGTATTTATTATTTTCAGTGAAACAATAACATCATAATTTATTTGACATGGTTTGTTAGTTATTAATAAATTATACATTTATATACTGCACTTATCCAGGTACTAGTATCTGCTCAAATGCGACAATGACCAGTGAAAACAATACTATCAAATTAAATATTATCAGAGTGTTGTCATTGAAAGAAATCTATGCATATAATACGTTGTTATGGATATTTTTAGGTACAGGGTATGTAAATATACATGATAGCATATTCATAAATATTCGATTCTAGTGGCCATGAATAACGAATTCAATTCGTGAATGGTTACGGTTCGATTCACCGAATACGTGAGTGAATCGTAACAGCCCTACTAACCACTGACCATACAAGAATTTACTGGCAGACCAACATCTTGTACCTTGATCCCCAGGAGTGCCAAGGGATACATGGCCCAACTGATGCGGATATTTGTGGTGACGCCAGACGGACCAATCAGGGTGCAACTGAAGCCTCAAATCCAGCCAGCGCCAGGGTCAAGTCCCCTGTTCTACCCCGGCAATGACGAGTCCACGACTTTACCACCTGGACAGATCTGGGTGCTACGCTTGCCGTATCCTTTGTATAGGTTTTAGATACCATCCGTAAATGCGTCTCATGTTGTTATTTTCTAAATATAAACAAGATCAATTGTATTTCTTGGGTAGCGTCAGTATGCCAAACATGAGAGGACAAATGAGATCATAATTATCTGGAAGTTAATTAGCTATATTCCGAAATTTTCTAAATATAAACAAGATCAATTGTATTTCTTGGGTAGTGTCAGTATGCCAAACATGAGAGGACAAATGCGATCATAATTATCTGGACGTTAATTAGCTATATTCCGAAAATTATTATGAAAATGTCTTATTTTGTTTTCTTTATGAAAGAAGACGTTTTGATAAACAAGACCAACTTAAGTTGGACAGTACCTTTGCCAGTGGCACAGGTCGATGAGTCATAGAAGTGGGCTTCATTTTGATTTTACAGACGTTTTCAGTAATTGTTTAGAACACAGGTTTTTATTGTATTGTATTGTATTGTATTGTATTGTATTGTATTGTATTGTATTGTATTGTATTGTATTACAGGCTCACAGGACAATATTTAGGGTAGACTCAACTGTATAATTGGGAAAACAAACTGGTCAATTAAGAGGACACATGTTGGCAATTTGCTCTATCTCAGACTTTCCCTTATTGGGGTCCTGCTTCTTAAAGACTTGCTGCTATTCATAGCTATGGGCTGTTCCATAGTGTTTTCCTAATAATGATGATAAAGTAAACTACAGTTATAACGAAATCAAAGGGAACACTAACTTTAGTTCTAATAACCGTAGTTTGTTATAAGAGTATATACAGCATATATACAACAAATGGCTAAAAAATAACTAAAAAATAAGTTTGTTTCTATATCGGTAAATTCGTTATAAGCGTGTTCGTTATAAACATAGTTTACTGTATGTTCCTTATCGGAAATCTAATAATAGCCTTGCCATAATGATGTGTGATGCAGATTCTGGATCTATTACGATTTGGTTTGGTTTGGTTTGTTGTTTAACGCCGCACTCAGCAATCTTCCAGCTATATGACGGCGGTCTGTAAATAATCGAGTCTGGACCAGACAATCCAGTGATTGACAACATGAGCATCGATCAACGCAATTGGGATCACATGCATCAACCAAGTCACCGAGTCTGACCACCCGATCTGTTAGTCGCCTTTTACGACAAGCATAGTCGCCTTTTACGGCAAGCATGGGTTGCTGAAGACCTATTCTACCCCAGAATCTTCACGGGCCTGGATCTATTAGGAAAACACTGTGGGACAGTCAGGGTCGAAATCGTTTATGGGGAGCAACGCATCAGGGTTCTAATTGTCCAAGATTTATTATTCACAAATATGTCCTTGACTTTTCTCAGTCACGTGTACCTTGGTGACCATGGCGTGTACAGCATGCCCTCTGACCCCCAGCAGATTTCACTGTGTCACATGAAGAAAGGTCTGTTCCAGTACAAGGAGGTGTCAGCAGATGGTTGAATGTAGAGTTATCTCCCCCGCTGTAACTCTTCAGTCAGTCAACATCCAGCTGCCCCTGGATGTGGTTTGGAGTCTGATCTCAACCATTCGTTGCCATGGAAACAGTCGAGATAAAAGACAAGTCTTCAGAGTTGATGGCTATTGTTTTTGAATAGGCAAGGATGTGAAGTTTTTTTTATAACAATATTTTGCTGTTTATGAATTTGTAAGCGATCTGCCAGACTGAAATATTGTTTTAAGCCTAGAATGGCCCATCTGGTATTGTCTTCTGTTGTATGTGAAACTCAGAAACATTGATGTCAGACGAAACTATGAGCTGAATGACTGACAGCCTTCATGTCTGACATTTTCTTGTTGAACCTTACAACTCTCAAGACAGAATAAGACGTTGGACATGACGATCAAGCCTTCATGTCTGACATTTTCTTGTTAAAACCTTACAACTCTCAAGACAGAATAGGAGGTTGGACATGACAATCAAGTCTTCATGTCAGAATGCTGGTTATTGAAATAAACGTTATTTGTGAGGGTTCACTGTTCTTTTGTGGATTCATTATGGGCAGATGGGCGCCTCAGCTGTACCCAAAGACTGCTTGTTAAATGATAGAACAAGTGTGAGGAAACATTTCTACCAAAACGTATGCATACAACTGAAAAGGAGCTGAAGAACACCTGTTTTTTTTCTTCACATGACGGGGGCACAGGTGACCCAGTCGTCTAAGGCGCCGCGATTCGCTGTGCAGAGATGCGTCCCTTGGGCACGCCAGAAACCTATGATTGTGGGTTCGAATCGATTATGTTTCTAGGTTTGTCAGCACCATACCTGTGCTAGTAGGTTTCACCGAAGTGGTTAACGTCTGAGACCTGCATCACTTTGGGCTTTCCTCCCACATTAAGCTGACACGCCGTGATATAACTGTAATACTGTTAAAAGCGGCGTAAAACCCAACTCACTCACTCACTCACTCTCATTGGTATTCCAGGGAAGAACAGGTCCCGAGGTTCAGTTATGAGACAAGATGTAAGCCTGCTGGGCAAAATAAAGTAAATATTTTGTAATTCTAAAAGGTTATCAAATACATCACCATCAAATCACCATTTTCTGTTTTATTTTTAGCCATATTCAAACCTGGTTGTATCTTTCGGGATAATGTGCAGAGAGAGATTGAGGTTGTGTTTGTTTGTTGTTTTACTGCGCCTGCTGCAATATTCCAGCTATATAACGGCGGTCTGTAAATAATCAAGTCTGGACCAGACAGTCCAGTGATTGACATCATGAGCATCGATCCACACCACTGGAATACAATGACATGTATTAACCAAGTCAGCGAGTCTGATCACTGGAAAGCTTTAGTTGCCGGTGGTGAGGATTCAAAATTGTTCAAATGGAGGGGCTGACCCCCCAAGGGGCTGAGAGGCGGTGTGAAATCTGGGTAATTAGGCGTTATTGCCTTAAGTGACTTCATCTCTGGAACTTAGAGATAGATATCAACCATATATGGTTGGAAGCATTCTCCTGTGGTGAGGATTCAAAATGGTACAAATGGAAGGGCTGATCACCCCCCAAGGTGCTGAGGGGCAGGGCCAAATAGGGGTAATTTGGCGTTGTTGCTTTAAACGATTTCTTCTCTGGAACTAAGAGATAGATATCAACCATATTTGGTTGGAAGCATTCCCCTGTGGTGCAGCCTCATCCCAAATTCTTTGGTCATCTTTGGTAACACACGTCAATTCAGTGAAATAGACATTTGGCATATTCAAAATAATTGTTCTGGAATTGATAACATGGCAAATTGTGTTTTGGTGAAAAAATGCGAGGAAAGTAGTCCCATAAAGGTCAGGGTTCACAATCTTCCAATCAAATACCAAGAATAACTGACGTCATGTGCACCCGATGTGTTTTCCCCAAGGGATAATTTAATTTGATATCCACTCAGCATACAGAAATATTTCCATGTCATTGAATATGGCGCTGACTTTGATCTGTTTACTGTGAACTGTACAGCTCATTGATTACGACATCACTCCGGGCTTTCACCACACGTCATGATATAACTCGTATAACGACGTGACAGAGGGCTGCACAAACCATTATTTCACCTTGTATTTATGTATCAATCTGTTGTGTGATGTGAACATTATGACAGAATAACTTTGAACATGGCGATATCATGTGACCACGGCACGTGACACGACAAGCCAATCAGGACCGACTGTGGTGCATGGGTCGTCCGTGCAGCGTGTGCATTCCGTCCTGTGTTTTCGAGCAGCCTTCCTTGTTGAGACTTACATTTGGTGGCAGCGGAGAATAATATTTGAAGATACACCAAATGAAAATCCACTGTGTGAGTGAAAATTGACATTGTATTGAATTTCTGTTTTTGTTGAGTGTGTCACAGAGTCAGGCCAGCATGAGAGAATTCGGGTGGCTCAGGGAACCCCTAACAGCTTGCACTTTCGGGGGGAGGTTTTAAAATGCCAGTTAATAACGCAAAGCAAATATAATTTTCTGCATAAATTACGAATTAAAGCCTGGGGATTTGGTTTGAGTTGCACCTGTTTTTCCGCCAGATCATTACGTTGGGTGTTTTGGTCTGTCCCCGTGAACCAAAGTCTGACTTTGAAAATTTCAAGAACTGTTTGATAGAAGAAACTGACAGAACTACTGTACGTCAACAAAACGCAGGATCTGATTTCCATACTTTGGCTCAGAAAGCTTCTCAAACCATTGATGAATCTGCACATCGTTAAAGATCATATATAAGTTATTGATTTGTCAAAAAACAAAACTGCCCACATATGACAGTGTCTTGCAGGCGACGAGTCATGCCTACGAGAATGAATCCCAGGACATGCTGATAATTCTGCGGTATTGCGTATTAAATGTTTATTTGAAAAAGAAATTTGGTCATAATGTGGGGTACTTTAGCTTGTCAAATGGATGCGGCTAGTTACAGTAGATGGGAGAAATACCAGTGTGGTAGTCGGTTGACAGGGTTGCCACTGTTCCAGCAAGATGTCAGAAAATGTCTGGCGGAACCTCTGTGATGAACGGAGTGAATATTTTCAACCCAGTACAGGTTTTGGTGCCAGGTGTGTTAGTTCAAGGAATCTGTGTGTTGGTGATGATCGAGTGATAGGAATGTGTATGTTCAACCAAACCAGTTTGATAGGGCATGTGAATAGGGCATGAATACAAAGCATGAATACAAAGGCAGTAGTGTCATTTCGTATATATTATCAAGTGTATTTAGATTCAGCTTCTGTTTCAATTCCTGAGTCTTAGTTCAGTTCAAGCACTCACGGGCGGCCCAGTCGTCTAAGACGCCGCGATTTAGGTCTTATCGTGCAAGTAAATATGATTTGTACTGGCATTATATTTGTACGGACTTTCAATAGACCCGTGAAGATCCGGGGTAGAATAGGTCTTCAGCAATCCATGCTTGCCGTAAAACGCGACTGTGCTTGTCGTAAGGGGCGACTAACCGGATCAGAGGGTGAGGCTCGCTGACTTGGTTGAAGCATGTCAGCGATCCGAATGGCGAGGATTCGATGTTCATGATGTCAGTCACTGGGTTGTCCGGTCCAGGTTCGATTATTTACAGACCGCCGTCATAGAGCTGGAATATTGCTTAGTGCGGCGTAAAACAACCAACCAGCCATGGCGTATCTGAGGTCATTGGGCTCAGTGCCACACTGAGTTATTATATTTTATTCTTTATATTCATGTAATGCACTCAAATGCTATGGCAAAATGTAATTTTCAGATTATATATTTTTTTCAGTATACTGCGCTTGGAGGCACAGGTGACCCAGTCCTCAAAGACGCCCAATTCCCTGTACATTGTTGCGTCCCTTGAACACGCCAGAAACCTTTGAACGTGAGTTCGAATCCCGGTTCGTCCCGATTATGGTTTTGGTCAGTCGGCATCATACTCGTGTACGGGAGTTTCACATCACTTTGTGATTTCCTACCACATTAAGATTACGTTTGCATGGGTACAATTGCTGAAATCGGCGTTAAACCATACTCACTCACGTGATATACATGGATATATAAAGGTAACTAGTAACCGTGATCATATGAGATATTTGTTTTGTGCTTCTGCTTCGAGGAAACGATTTAAGGACAGCTTAGAACATCTTGGTTTCTCAATTTCAGCTGATGGCGGCAAGGGGGCGTCCTTTGAGCAAGCCAGAACTGGAATACTGTTCAAAGCAGCGTTAAACGCACCTCGCTCACATCCTGACTTGGTCAACACAGACATTGAGCAGAATATCCCAATTGTGTATTTGAGCAGAAATAAATGTGTATCAACCGCCAGTCTTATCCATTACACTACCATACTCTGGTGCCCTGGTAAGAGGTGACTGTGCTTGTCGTAAGAGGTCTTCAGCAGCCCATGCTGGAAAGAGGCTCGGTTGATGCATGTCATCGTATCCCAATGCTCATGTCTGATCCAGATCGCCGTTATAGCTGGAATATTGCCGAGGCTAAGCACCACAAATTCATTTCATGTGCAGACCCGAGTTAGAATAGGTCGGGTCATCGTATACCAATTGTGTATTTGAGGAGAAATAAATGTGCCAAACGCCAGTCTTTTTGTTATCCATAACACCACCATACTCTGGGACCCTGGTAAGAATCGGTCTTCAGCAGCCCATGCTTGTCGTAAGAGGCGACAAAAGGGATCGGGTGATGCACGCCATCGTATCCCAATGCTCATGTCAATCACAGGATTATTCCCGAATTTGGCATTCTAGATGTGTGATGAAAGCCCGCAAAAGCAATTTCCAGCTAGCAATCAGTGACTTTTGGGGGTTATTTTTGGAAGGACACAAAAAGAACAAATTTGCTGTTGCTAAATCATTTGACAGACTTGTTTCCCCCATCTTCGTTGGAAAGAAAATGCATCCAAATACCAAATCCGAATTACAAAACTGAAACTGCGGAATGGTGATTGCTAGCTTGAAATTGCTTTTGCGGTCATGTGAACCCAATTGTATCCGATATTTTTCGTCAAACGCAATATTCCAGCTATATGACTGCGGTCTGTAAATAATCGAATCTGGACCAGACAATCCTTTTTGACATCATGAGCATCGAATTGACGTTGATGCATGTCATCGTATCCCAAGTCGACAATCCTGACCCCCCGATCCCGTTAGTCGCCTTTTACAAGTATCGCATTACCGTACATATTGATGCCCTCAACGCAAAGGTTGTGCATGCGAACAGTTACATTTTGCCGTGCTAGGTACACTCCCATTTGTCACACATGGCCGAAGTATATGCACACAGACATAACATGATATAAATATTAAAAAAATTCTTTATTAGCACTGAATGTCTGTTTACTCCAACCCTCTAAAGAAGCTTGCAGCATCCCTGGCGAAGCTGATCTTTCAGTCTCTCCTAACGGTTTTCAGACTCTTGCGCTTGGGTGTAGCTGCTCCAAAATTAATCTGGGATAACTTCAATGAAGCGGATGGTCTTGGTTGTAAAATCCCTCGAGATCATTGTTGGTGAACAATAGTTGCCGTAACCTTAAAAAAAAGAACATATTGTGTGCCTCGCTGCGATGAACATACTCCACTAACCCACAATGGTTATAACTGAAACATGATTGAATAATTAGATTAAAACTGGAGTACAAATCTGACTTGTAAAACAAAATAACGGCATGATGTCCAAGTTTGGCTAATCGGGATATGTCAACCACGTACACTATTGAAGTGCAATAATGTTGAACGCGACGTTAAACACCAAAATGTCATATAGTGAGGAAGTATGATTTTACGCCACTTTTAGCAATATTCTACCAATATCACGGCGGGGGACACCAGAAATGGGCTTCACACATTGTACCCATGTGGGGAATCGAACCTGGATCTTTCGCGTGACGAGCGAACGCTTTAACCACATGCGTTTGTAGTTCAGCAAGTGAATGAAAACAAAATGCATGTATCCTAATTACAACTAATTACGAATACGTACAATATCAGGACGTTACCTTGTTCGAGGAATGTATCCGCAGATATCCACGTAAAGGAACAATATCCCATGCATCTGTCTTTGTAACAATCTAATATACAGCGTTTCGGGATGTTATGACCCAGATTCGTTTCTAAACTGTTTTGTTTTGTTTGTTGTTTAACGCCGAAAGCAGAGTTGCTGAAGACCTATTCTTCACGGGTCCGTTTCTTAACTGATCACAGGGGCAGATTCACGCCGAATACCCGGGTTCGATTCCCGACATGGGTACAATGTGCGAAGCCCATTTCTGGTAGAATATTGCTAAAAGCGGCGTAAAACCAGACTCACTCACTCACTCACTTGTTTCAAGTGACACGTCTCATTGGTCAGCTGAGATTGTACAAGCGACAACTATGTTCATGATGACCACGGTTCTTTAAAATAGATAACAATATACAATGTATTACATAACATGTTGTATATTCACCACATCAGAGTGAGTGAGTTGGGTTTAACGCCGCTTTTAACAGTATTCCAGTTATATCACGGCGTGTCAGCTTCATGTGGGAGGAAAGCCCGAAGTGATGCAGGTCTCAGACGTTTACCACCTCGACAATATGGGCAATCTGTAAATTTAGAATATCTTGGCACAATTAGAATAAGTCTAAAAGAGGATTTGTTGTACACGAGTCTGATTGTGTATGTGCAAACTGTACCATATTTAAATGTAAAAAAAATTATATGTATTGTTACGAAATATGCATTATTGATACTACTCGTCCTCATAATGTGTCCCGTGAAGATTCCGGGGTAGAATAGGTCTTCAACAACCCATGCTTGCCGTTAAAGATGACTGTGCTTGTCGTAAAAGGCGACTAACGGGATCGGGTGGTCAGGCTCGCTGACTTGGTTGATGCATGTCATCGATCCCAAATGCGTGGATTGATGCTCATGATATCAATCACTGGATTGTCTGATCCAGACTCGATTATTTACAGACCGCCGTCATATATCTGGAATATTGCTGAGTGCGCCGTTAAACAACAAACCAACAACAAACCTCATAATGTAAACAAACCTTGTGGATACATTACAGCACAAGCAGCAAAGTAAAATCGCAGATGTTGCCATTTACTTAAAGCGTTTTCAACACGCAACATTGCAGATATGTCCCTTCTAAGAACTTTTATGTACGCTTTATACATTGGCTTGGATACTGCTCACAACTGGAAGCTGAATATCCCCGTGATCTTTCACGTGCTACTGGGTGAAGAATGCAGTCATCTCACGATCTGGTGCTGAAATAAATGTACGTCTTATTCTGGAGTAAAGTAATAGAGTGCTCTCAACAGGCCGCAAAACGGTTTATGATAAGGGTACACTCATGTTGGTATATAAATATAATCTTGTCTTTACACCATATGGAATCTTTTTTTGGCATTGACATTTTGAATCTCAGACGCAAAATAAGAACAATATGAGATAGATTTGTGTACACCAAACACAAAACCATCTTAGTGCTCAGTCAGTGAATGAGTGAGTTGGGTTTAACACCGCTTTTAACAGTATTCCAGTTATATCGAGGCGTGTCAGCTTAATGTGGGAGGAAAGCCCGAAGTCATGCAGGTGTCAGACGTTTACCACTTCGGTGAAACCCTCGAGCACGGGTATGGTGCTGACAAACCTAGAAACATAATCGGGGCGAACCCGGATTCGAACCCACAATCATAGATTTCTAGCGTGCCCAAGGGACGCAACTCTGCACAGTGAATCGCGGCGCCTTAATGCTAAGACAGTCGGCGAGGTGAAACGATGTTCAAGGTCGCGTTCAAGGTTATTTGAGTCTATATAAATATAGCCACGTCCAAGTGTACCATGATGTTTTTTCCACCTAGTCAAATATTCCTGGAGAAATTCATCCTTGTGGATATTTTTTCACATTCTATTTTTTCCCTGGCTATTTTTTCTATACTAAGGTTTCCCCGCTCACTCGATTCAGTTCTCTCTGCTAACCTCACACTTTTGCTTGAAGCTACAAGGCAAATTACCTAAAAGCTATTACAAACCAATGTCAATACACCTAAAGCTTGATGTTTGGAAAAGATGGAACGAGGAGAAACATGGTACAATTAACTTAAAACCTTGGAAACACTTTCCCGGTTTCTCGACGTCATGTTTCCCTCAATCTCATTAAAATCAGACCTTAGATCTCGCTACCGCTAAACAAAGATCTGAGGACATCCCATTACCGGTCAAGTCAGAACGACCTTTCATCCGACCAATCAGTGCGTCGCTTACCAGATTATGAAAGTGACTGTCGGAATGTGATTTCTAATCATGCAGTCTCTAAAACTTTAACACGGGGTATTCCGAGCAATAGTAACGGGTTTAACGACTGAATCCATACAATCTAGACCATATATTAGCCAATCCAGAATGTTTTTTTGTTCAGGTTTCAAATTTGTGATCGAGAATTTGTCAAAATATGTTTCGAAGCGTAGTCGCCAATTTGAAATTTATCCTGTAAGCTGCCTTCTGATTGGTCATTCCTTTTGTCGGTCAAAGTTCGCGCAAGGTCGGTCTGACGTGACCCGTAATGGGATGTCCTCAGATCTTTGTTTAGCGGTAGCGAGAACTAAGATCTGATTTTAATGAGATTGTGTTTCCCTTTACCGAACAATTTGGTGCAGAGGAACCATAAGATGTGAATACGTGCAGCGTCTTGTATTCAAAGACATCTATTCTATGCCAAATGTGTGTAGTTGACTACGGGAGATCAGTCCCATTTTTGTGTTTGTTTGTTTGTTTGTTTGTTGTTTAATGCCTCACTCGGCAATATTCCGGCTATATGACGGCGGTCTGTAAATAATGGAGTCTGGACCAGACAATCCAGTGATAGTTATCATGTGCGCAGTGAGGCCTTCGAATCACTTAGGAGACTTTAATGCGATTTTCAAATTTCTAAGACCACTTGCATTTTTCGCGTTATTTTTAAGTAAGTGAGTGAATATGGTTTTTACGCCGCTTTAAGCAATATTCCAGCAATATCACGGCGGGGGACACCAGAAATGGGCTTCACACATTGTACCCATGTCGGGAATCGAACCCAGGTCTTCGGCGTGACGAGCGAACGCTTTAACCACAAGGCGACCCGACCGCCCCGTTAATTTTAAGATTTACAGTACCCATATTGAAGGTTGTTTAACGCCAGTCAGCAAAATATGTCGGATCTGTCACGGAGGCCTGTAAATAATGAAACAATTAATAAAAACAATACAATAACAACCAAAGTTTACATGCATAGCGAGGCCTCCAGATTCTCTTTGAAAAGGCCATCATAGCAAGAGGCTCCAATTCTCCACACTTACGCCCGTATTTACCAAGAAGTATTTTTCTATTTTGGTATTTTGTTTACCACACCCACATATCATCACCTTGTCGTTAGACAGCTTAACGCGCCTGGAAACATAATCTTCGAAAAGAAAACATTTTCAAACGTTTCTTAACTTAGTGTCAATCAGTCTCACCTTTGCCGAGAAACAAGTCTTCTTTGTGAAAAGCAGCTGATGAATCCCTTTCAAAGTTCATACTTGAAAAACTGGTGTGTATTGTGGGAGTGCGACATATCGAAGGTTAAGGTACTATTTTGTTGACCTTCTCACAGCAGATCAGAGACATGTGGTCCAAGGTTCGATTGACATGTAAAGCAGCTCCGGCATTTCGTGCATTCCGTTCATCTGCACGTGCTGCGGCAGCCTTTGTTCTGCGAGGACGAAGTCACCTGATGCACTTACGTTCTGGGCGTGGTGTGTATTTCATGAAGTCTCTTTGTCACCTTTGTTGAGGACAGTTTGTTCCTTGGTGGTCCAGTTCTGTGCTGATAAACCAGGTCATGTGGGGCGGATCCAGGATTTTTTTTTTTTAAAAGGGGGTTGGGTCCACTGTTTGAGTATGTTGAGATTTATTAATATGCTTTTAGTATTGTCTTTGTTCTTGTCTGTCGTGGCATGTGAAGCTATATTATTATGCTGTCATCGCCTTTTATCATCTTCCCGAGGCAAGGAAGTTAACTGACAATAAAAGTCCAGTTTCCACCCACACCGAACTAGGCTGGTATTATGGAGTTATATTTTGGCTGGACTAACGAGTCTATGCATAGTCCAATCAAAATCGCGCAACGAAATCGAAATCCGGTTAGTAAACCGCTGCACATATTTCGGTCGATTGCATGATTGGCAAAGCAAGTGTACTGCCAACTCGTTGTCAAAAGATATTTTCCAAGTCTTTTCATGTTTTGAATCAAGGTGCTTATGTGATTTAATGCACTTCGCGATGTAGGACCCTTTTATCACAAAAGAGATCTCAATCTCATTAAAATTAGATCTTAGTTCTCGCTATCACTAAACAAAGATCTGAAGACATCCCATTACGGGTCACGTCAGAACGACCTCTCATCGAACCAATCAGAGCGTCGCTTACCAGATCATGAAAGTGACAATCGGAATGTGTTTTCTAATCATACAACCACGAAATATTTAACACGGGGTATTCCGAACGACAGTTACGGGCTTCATGATTATATCCATACAATCCAGGCCACCTATAAAACATTCCAGAATGTTCTTATCAGTTTTAAAATTCTTAATCGAGAACACGTCAAAAAATGTTTCGAAGCGTAGTTGCCAGTTACAACTAGTGTCGTAAAGCTCGAGAAAGCTGCCTTCTGATTGGCTCATGTCGATTTCTTGTCAGTCATTTTATTGGTCGGTCAAAATTCGCGAAAGGTCGTTCTGACGTGACCCGTAATGGGATGTCCTCAGATCTTTGTTTAGCGGTAGCTAAAACTAAGATCTGATTTTAATGAGATTGAAGAGATTTTGATTATTGATCAGATCGTCTTGACTGTGCGCCGCCATTTTGTTTGAAACAAGTGATACGAGAGGTGGAATCTGATTGGTCAGAAGGAGAGACTTACAATGGACATAACTCGAAATCACCACTGGAGATGCTACTGTCGAGCCCAGGAATTCCAACCTAGTTCGGCAAGGGTGGAAACTGGACTTAAATAGTCAGATAACTCCCTTGCCTTGGGAAGATGGCCTCTGAAGGACATGGGACGTCATCAGTATGGAGGGGCGGTCGGGTAGCCTAGTGGTTAAATCGTTCGCTCGTCATGCCGAGGACCCGACATGGGTACAATGTGTGAAGCCCATTGTTGGTGTTCCCGCCAAAATATTGCTCGAATATTGCTTAAAGCGGCGTAAAATCAAACTCACTCACTCATCAGTATGGACACGCTCTTCTTTCTCAGACAAGTAAATACTGTGGCGGTAGCTTACTTTTTAATTACTTATTTGCACTTCCTATTTTTTGTATTTGTCTGGTATGGAAATAAAGGCTGCCCATCATTTTTCCTATAGAAATAACTCAAGTTTCAGCAAAACTTATAGTGAGTGAGTGAGTATGGTTTTACGCCGCTTTTAGCAATATTCCAGCAATATCACGGCGGGGGACACCAGAAATGGGCTTCACACATTGTACCCATGTCGGGAATCGAACCCGGGTCTTTGGCGTGACGAGCGAACGCTTTAACCACTAGGCTAACCGACCGCCCCAGCAAAGCTTATACTTCTTGCTATCACTATAAGAATACCGCTTCCTGTTTCGGAAACATATGAACCTTAAGCAATCAGCAATATAGAAAATTCCGTGTCTGCAGGTGCAAAAGGGACACAGTTAATGGTAATTTATTTATAGTAATGGACTTTCAAAAAGAAGAAAACGACTTCACAGGTTACAGCTATATTTTACACCAGATCCTCCGTCAATGTTAAGGCAGTGAATGGTGGTTTTGAACGCCCTTAATTGACACTTCATAAAAGAATCGGATATAAAATGCGTTACTAAGCACCGTTCACCGGGACACAAGAAAAAGCAGCGTTTTCACTTTTATACTGTTATTTCTTTCAGTATCTTCAAGCGGTATCTGCAAGAGGTGAGGTGAGGTGAGGTGAAATTGGGTTTAACGTCGCGTCCAAGATTATTGCACTTATATAGCGACGTGCATGTACGTGTGTGTGTTTGTGTGGCTGCTTGTACTAGTCCGGACTGATGCCGATTTATAGTGCTAGCTCACTGAGATACCATGCCGCAGTTTAACATGAATACCCCACTCAGACACAGTATACTGACTCCGAGCTGACCAGTCCTTGTTTTAGCCCCTTAATGCCGAGCGCCAGACAGGGTAACAACAAGTACCATCTTTTAACGTCTTTTGGTATGACGCGGCCGGGGATCGAACCCCGGACCTTCCGCTCTCCAGGCGGACGCTCTACCACAAGACCACGGAGGCGGTCTTTCTGCAAGAGAATTGTAGTCAGAATAATATATGCAGAACCATGTTACCTATGGCTGAAGTCAAAGAACAAAGCGTTACTGGCATCCGATGATACACTGAACTGCTAAGCTTGATAGTTATTGGACGAGCCGGTGAGGAACGACAGGTTAACAAATGTTGTTTTCAATAAATTTTTTATTTGTTTCCCCCTGGAGTTCAGAACACCTAGTAGTCATAATCACTTGTTTCTGAGTTACAGATGGTTGAAAAACGATGTTTTTGAAACCTAGCAAATGTTTTTCACACTAGATCGGCCGGCATAGTGAGTGAGTAAGTATGGTTTTACGCTGCTTTCAGCAATATTCCAGCTTTATGACTGCGGTCTGAAAAATAATCGAGTCTGGACCAGACAATCCAGTGATTGATAACATGAGCATCGATCCACGCAATAGGGATACGATGACATGCATCAACCAAGTCAGCGGGCCCGACCACCCGATCCCGTTAGTTGCCTCTCACGGCAAGCATGGTCGCCTTTTGTGGCAATCTTGGGTTGCTGAAGATTATTCTACCCCGGATCTTCATTGGTCCGGTGCACATGTAATGTGTGTTGTAGACGTGTTGGTGCACATGTAATGTTGGTTAAAGGCTTATGGGTGCACATGTAATGTGTGTTAGTGCACATGTAATGTGTGTTGTAGACGTGTTGGTGCACGTGCAATATGTATTTAAGACGTGTTGGTGCACATGTAATGTGGTTGAAGTGTCGTTTCTCATGTGGTGTGGGTTGAAGACATGTGGTGTGGGTTGAAGACGTGTGGTGTTGGTTGAAGACGTGTTGGTGCACATGTAATGTGGTTGAAGTGTCGTTTCACATGTGGTGTGGGTTGAAGACATGTGGTGTGGGTTGAAGACATGTGGTGTGGGTTGAAGACGTGTGGTGTGGGTTGAAGACGTGTTGGTGCACATGTAATGTGGTTGAAGTGTCGTTTCTCATGTGGTGTGGGTTGAAGACATGTGGTGTGGGTTGAAGACGTGTGGTGTGGGTTGAAGACGTGTTGGTGCACATGTAATGTGGTTGAAGTGTCGTTTCACATGTGGTGTGGGTTGAAGACGTGTGGTGTGGGTTAAAGACGTGTTGGTGCATATGTAATGTGTGTTGAAGACGTGTGGTGTGGGTTAAAGACGTGTTGGTGCATATGTAATGTGTGTTGAAGACATGTGGTGTGGGTTAAAGACGTGTTGGCGCATATGTAATATGGTTGAAGTGTCGTGTCACGTGTGATGTTTGTTGAAGACGTGTGGTGTGTCTTCAACATGTTGGTGCATATGTAATGTGGGTTGAAGACGTGTCGTTTCACATGTAATGTGGAAGAAAAGCCATAAGCGACTCGTCTTCTAGACTTTGGAACATTTATTTGTTAATTTAGAAAAAAATAATGATTTAAACTGTTCAAATAAGGTTGCTCGTTTACACAAGAGCAGAGGAAATCATTGGGACTCAGGATTAGATTTGGTCCCCAGCACCCATGCTTGTCGTACAAGGTAACTAAATAGACAGGTGGTCAGGGTCGGTGAAATGCGTGTCATCGCAACCAGACGGCATCGGACGTTGTTCATGATATCAACCACTGGTTTGTCTGGCCCAGGCTCGATTATTTACAGGTTGCCGTGGTTTAGCTGACATTTTGCTGGGCGTGTCGGACTGTGACGCCAGGTACACCAGTGTCGCAATTGATAGTAACAAGCTATTCTGCCGGGGCACGGTGACGCACGATCAGCCCAATCATACATTGTAAACAGCCATTGTAACCATTGGAATTTATCGAAAACTATATTGTCCCTGACAATTCTTGAAAAAAAGTTCTGTTTCAGACTTTTGAAAAATGCAACATTTCCATGTTCTTTCCAACTTCTTTAAAAATAATTCAGGATTATAGTTTTAAATGAAAAAAACCCCAACATTTCATTGTTAAAAGTTGTTTTTCATTAAAAAGAATTCAGGATTATCGTTTTAAATGAAAAAATATATGTGGTTTTGCAGCTGAAGCTAAATATATCTTATCTCGATACAAAATCCCAGCCCCCTCCCTCCCCCGAATATCAAATGATGGGTCCCTCAGGTCTCACACCAAGCTGGGGACACGGGAGATCTCTGGAACCTCCCTGGGGTCAACACATGTGAATCGTAGACAAGGAATCGTGAAAGAACTATACGTATGCGATACAGAGATGCAGCTGCACATGCAGATAAACGTTTTAGAACACACATTATAAATACCATGATTCTTACACAGGGTAGCTTTGATATGGAAACACTTTACATACAGTAGTGTAAACGAATAATGTTTCACCTAGAAATAGTGGGGTTTTTGGTGTTCAACGCCCCACTAAGCAACATTCCAGCTGTATGAAGGCGGTCTGAAAATAATCGAGTTTTGTTCAGACAATTCAGTGATTGACATCATGAGCATCGATCCACGCAATTGGGAAACGATGACATGTCTCAACCATGTCAGCGAGCCAGACCGACCGATCCCGTTAGTCGCCTTTTACGACAAGCATTGGTCCCGCGGGTGAGTATTATCATTTGTTTACATACTTATAAGAAGTATTTAAATAGCTAACATTTTCGAAAGGCAGTTAAATCAGTTAACAGTTTCAGTTTCAGTTTCTGAGCTATTTGTTATTTACTCCGAGTACAACCGTGGCATGTGATTAAGTCAGACATTCTTGCACCCTCGAACTTTCTTGCATAAATTCAAAGACGAATTCCGTTACAGAAAAGATTTTACAAATTGTTGCATTTAGCATTGTTGTGTGTGTTTCATTGTAAGTTTGGAACATGTTTGGAACATAAACTGCCAGGCAAAAGAATGTATATCCTAACATTTGATGGCGGTGAAACATGAAACAAACAATAAATGGTTATACCATGGTGATGTGTTTGATACGGACATCATAGGCGATAGACCCGTGAAGATCCGGGGTAGAATAGGTCTTCAGCAACCCATGCTTGCCGTAAAAGGCGACTATGCTTGTCGTAAAAGGCGACTAACGGGGTCGGGTGGTCAGGCTCGCTGACTTGGTTGATGAATGTCATCGATCCCAATTGCGCGGATCGATGCTCATGATGTCAATCACTGGACTGTCTGGTCCAGACTCGATTATTTACAGACCGCCGTCATATAGCTGGAATATTACTGAGTGTGGCGTTAAACAACAAACCAACCAAATCATAGGCGATATTACATGCTTCATATCAATGAGTATCTCACAATAGGTCGGTCCAGTAAAGTGTGTTGTTGTTTGGTCAAATACAGTCTTAAACTGTACACTTTCTTTTGCCAGCCAGGTTTTTTATAGAAATTACTTGAGCCAGCACTGGGCCCTGAAGGTAGAATTCTCTCTGTAATGTAAAACACACTTTGTGTTACCATGTTAAGACCTAACAACCTTTTTCGTTTACAAAACAAAAAATCCCCTTTGCTTGTCCAACTCATTTAAGTTCATTCAAAACCGACGAAAGGCTAATTTCAAAAGCATGTGGGTTTCAAATACCCGGTAATTCTATGTTAAACACGGCATCAGTTGCGGCAAACCCTTAATGCATAAAATAGCTTGTAAAGAGCTTGGTGTTGCTGATACTCGAGTGATCTTTGAACTTTGACACATGAAGTCACGCGATATCACGCACATTACGTTACTCCACGAGGCCTTCAGACATGTGGTCGCCTTTTGCTTGCAGAAGGATTATTTAAATGTCAGAATGTGAAACTCGGGTTGAACTGTCTCTTTTTTCTTCAAGAAGTCAAATTAGTTGACTGAATGCTATAAAAGCAATGTAGACCTCCACGGGGTTCCTCACTTTGTCTCCGAGTCAGAATGATTTCCCGGGATCTCTTGCTATTTCTGGGACTATGTAAGTATAATGTTTCTTTTAACGCTTAGATTGACGGAACGATAAGAAATGTATACGTATCCACCACGAGATATTAATATAATTTAATAAACCCGTTTCTATCTCGACATGAATGAATAAGATAAAAGTCTCCAGTTCGTGTATCAAATTCGAGTTTCGCACAACAGGGAAGGACCATGATACAACTGAAGAGAGAAATCCAAAACATCGGACAGATCTTTTCGGGGAAAGATACAGCGGATCTAACAAATCATTTGCACAATTCACAGGAAGTCGCGTTATAACCATGTTTTACTGTTCGCGATATCAACATACAGTAAGCAGACAGGAGTTTAAGTATTTGATAAGTGACAATACTCCCTTCGTTGCCTTTTACCACTAAACCATGATTCTTATTTAAGATAAACACATTTCAAAAAGAAGGAAATCAAGTTTTAATGGTTCGTCAAATATCTTCAAGATCCTTTTCAGCGTTACTTAGCCATTTTGATAGTTAAATGAACAGTTATATGTAATAATAGCGTATTTGAACATTTGGCATTAGATTGGATTCCAAGCCTCTCCTCGAGTGATTAGGTCAAACAAAGAGGACTCATGAGTTCTCGATGAATTTCCGAACCTGTTCACATACCCATTGATTAAACGTGTGAGATAAATGGGCAACGTTGACTACAGACATTTGCAAAACCAATACGATGACATGTATCAACCATGTCAGCGAGCCTGGCTACCCGATCCCGTTATCGCCTTTTACGACAAGCATAGTCGTCTTTCATGACAAGCATAGTCGCCTTTCATGACAAGCATAGTCGCCTTTCATGACAAGCATAGTCGCCTTTCATGTCAAGCATAGTCGCCTTTCATGACAAGCATTGGTCCCGGGTGAGTATTGTCATTAGTTAACATACTTACGTATTTAAATAGCTAACATTTACGAAAGGCAGTTGTTTCTGTGTCTGTTTCGGAACTATTTGTTTTTTTCTCTAGGATAACAAACGGTGTCCCACGATCTCTTATCCAAGACTAGACACATATGGTGCATATCTGCATCGGTTTGGAAAATTATGTTTACCTGAACTTTACTATACAATGAAATCAACACATAAACCTACGTCACCATTTGCAGCTTTCCGTGACCTACAAACACATACGCATTCGTCCCAATCTGCATCTTTTGGTTACCTATAAGGGGCGGTGAGGTATCCTAGTGGTTAAAGCGTTCGCTCGTCACGCCGAAAACACGGGTTCGATTCCTGACATGGGTATAATGTGTGAAGCCAATTTCTGGTGTCCCTCGCCGTGATGTTGCTGGAATATTGCTAAAAGCGGCGTAAAAACATACTCACTCACTGGTTACCTATAAACACAGAGGTATTAGTCCCCATTTGCATCTTTTCGTAACCTATAAACAAATACAAGAGGCAACTAACGGTTGTTGTTTAACGCCGCACTCAGCAATATTTCAGCTACATGATTGCGGTCTGTAAATAATGGAGTCTGGACCAGACAATCCAGTGATTAACATCATGAGCATCGATCCACGCAATTGGGATACGATGACATGCATCAACCAAGTCAGCGAGCCTGACCACCCGAGCATGCTCCTTCCCGATATTTCCAAGAGCATTGTGCGTCTATTGCTGAAAAGTTGTTTGATGAGTGTTACATCATGCAAAGCCTTAGAAAAGGATAAAATTTTACAAAGTTTCATGGTACACATGTGGAGGAAAAGTCCAATTTGACACATCAGTGATCAAAATGATATCCGATGGTATTCCCTTGTTTGACTTGAACAATATGTTCCCGTGCTTGTAACGTGTGGGGCAAGACACGCTCATCGTTCGCAAATACCTGGTATTATCACAATATGATACTTATTCATAAACGCATGTTTATGATATAGTCGGAATCGTATGTGGAGATTATATAAGATTAAAGAAAGGTCAGGTGAAATGGAGTTTAACGTCGCGTTCAAGTTTTGTGCACTTATATAGCGATGTGCATGCATGTGTGTAGCTGCTTGTAGTCTACTAACTGGTTTTGTAGTGCAAGCCCACTTAGACACTATGCCGCATGTAACTTGACACAATGTACACAACTCCGAGCTGACCAGTCCTTGATTTTTCTCTTTAAAGTCGACCGCCAGGTAGGGTAACAACAAGAACGATCGTTTAACGTCTTTTGGTATGACGCGAGCGGGGGATCGAATCACCGACCTTCCGTTTTTCGGGCGGATGCTCTACCACCAGACAATGGAGACGGTTCAGTTTGGAAAGGGTTTTATCGCTTTTATTTATTCTCTTATAAACTGTCAGAAATGAAATCGATCCAATGCGTGTGTCACCCTCAGTTTGATCGTTTAACGTCTTTTGGTATGACGCGGCCGGGGGATCGAATCAACGACCTTCCGTTTTCGGGCGGATACTCTACCACCAGACAATGGAGACGGTTCAGTTTGGAAAGGGTTTTATCGCTTTTATTTATTCTCTTATAAACTGTCAGATATGAAATCGAACCAATGGGTGTGTCACCCTCAGTTTGAAATAATCAACATTTTATTATTATTATTATTATTATTATTATTCTCGACGTCATTATTATAACATACATGATTATGAATATAAAAAATAAAAAACAAAACTGATATTCCTTTTTTCTTCTTCTACAGGTTTGGTGGTTCTTTTACCGGCTCACTGCCAACGGCCGACCCGCCGGTCCCCAACCCGGGCCACTCAATGCCGGGCCACGGGCAACCTTGAAATCCCAGGGTACTGCCGTGTTTACCTGGCGTGTGGCACAGCAAACGGAGAAGGCTCTGTGATGAGGTGTCCTGATGGAACGACGTTTAATGGCGATATCGGAAACTGTGACAATATAGAGCTTTCAGATCATCGTTGTTTCCGGGGTACAAACAACAACAACAACCGTCGCCCCATCAATAATAACAACAACTTCAATACCCGTCGCCCTAACAACAATAACAACAACTTCAATACTCGTCGCCCTAACAACAATAACAACTTCAATACTCGTCGCCCTAACAACAATAACAACTTCAATACTCGTCGCCCTAACAACAATAACAACTTCAATACTCGTCGCCCTAACAACAATAACAACTTCAATACTCGTCGCCCTAACAACAATAACAACTTCAATACTCGTCGTCCTAACAACAATAACAACAACAATCAACGTAATGGCCGACGTAATGTGTTCCAAGGTAAGATTTGAAAGATATTTCTCCAACCCAATAACACAAAAAATGACAGTGATTAATTTCAGACGTTGATTGACCAGGGTGCCGTTGTACGATTCAACCTTAGCACTACGACTGTCGTTAGTCTAAGTTAAGGTATGGGAGCTACGATCACCTTATCGCTGAGACCGCTTTGTGCAACGGCACCCAGACATGGGATACGTCTGTTGGATAGGCACGTTTTTCTTCTTCGAGAAAGGGCAACCTAATGACTTTGGGCGACTCATTTCACCGTGCAGTTGCCTTCCCTTCAGAATCGAGCCAATACCGCATGGGCCCCGACTATCGAAAGCCTTGGTATAGGAGTTACGATCACCTTAAGCTAAGATCGCTTTGTGAAACGGGGTTAATATCTAAGTTCTCATCCAAAATTCGCCCTCATGTTAAGACACACTTTTGTAAGTAAGATGATATGACAAATGTGTGTAAGATGACACCTGTACCTCAAATTGGCTACCAAACCTATCTCAGACCGCCTCCGTGGTCTAGTGGTAGAGCTTCCGCCTGGAGAGCGGAAGGTCCGGGGTTCGATCCCCGGCCGCGTCATACCAAAAGACGTTAAAAGATGGTACTTGTTGTTACCCTGTCTGGCGCTCGGCATTAAGGGGCTAAAACAAGGACTGGTCGGCTCGGAGTCAGTATACTGTGTCTGAGTGGGGTATTCATGTTAAACTGTGGCATGGTATCTCAGTGAGCTAGCACTATAAATCGGCATCAGTCCAGACTAGTACAAGCAGCCACACACACACACACACACACACACACACACACACACGTGCATGCACGTCGCTATTTAAGTGCAATAATCTTGGACGCGACGTTAAACCCCATTTCACCTCACCTCAAGTGATTTTGATACGAAACTATCACCTTGAAAAAGCACTCCATCTATGCGTATACGAAACTGTCATCCTGCTCATAAACTGAACTTTCGATTTCCAGGGTCACCCCAGATTAGCGTCCCGCTCACGCTACCTCGGGGACAAGCCGGCGACTGCCAGCGATTGGAGAATGTAATTAACAATGACTTCCGGTCACGTGTCCGGGGAGCAGCTGGAAGAGACGTTCCCAACATTCCAACACTGAGACTGGAATGTACATTCCAGAACCGGAATCAGAACCAGAATCAGAACTGGAATCAGAACTGGTCTCAAGTCCGAGGCTAAGGCTGATCAAGTATGTAAATATGTACGACATTGCAATAACTAATGAATGTTGCTAGACTGATGATTTGTTTAAAAAGTGTAAATATATATATGCAGGGGAATGTTTTTAACTTGAAGTTCTTTGGATCATCGACAATACATTGAGTTATCCGTAGTTCGAGTGAGTGAGTGAGTGAGTGAGTTTGGTTTAACGATGCTTATAAAAGTATTCCAGTTATATCGCGGCGTGTCAGCTTAATGTGGGAGGAAAGCCTGAAGGGATGCAGGTCTCAGACGTTTACCACTTCGGTGAAACCCACGAGCACGGGTTTGGTGCTGACAAACCTAGAAACATAATCGGGGCGAACCGGGATTCGAACCCACAATCATAGGTTTCTGGTGTGCCCAAGGGACGCAACTCTGCACAGCGAATCGCGGCGCCTTAGACGACTGCCCCCCCCCCCCCCCCCCCCCCCCCCCGTGCCCCCCTGAGATAAGCAAAGTGTCGATCCTAGATAAAGATTCAAATTGGGATTTCTGACAGGACCACTTCGTCTTCAATACCAGCGAACGAGTTAAAACTTAAAAAAGCATCCGTGAAGATCCGTGTTAGAATAGGTCTTCCGCAACCCATGCTTGCCGTAAGAAGCGACAATGCTTGTCGTAAGTAGACATCTCACGGGATCGGGTGGTCAGGCTCGCTGACTTGGTTGATGCATGTCATCGTATCCCAATTGCGTGGATCGATGCTCATGTTGTCAATAACTGGATTGTCTGGTCCAGACTCGATTACTTACAGACCGCCGTCATATAGCTGGAATATTGCTGATTGCGGCGTTAAACAACAAACAAAACAAAACATACATGCATAGATTCACTTGTCGTTAACGAGGTGTCACTGTATACTACTTTGTGCAGCTTTTACTTTAAGTACAAATACCTTTAAAACAGCAGAGAATTTCAAAACTTATTGTTTGACAAATGAGTGACAATGAAACCTCATTGATCCGGACAGTTTTATTTCACTCACTTTCGCGCTGAAAATCAGATGTCTGGGTTAATGAGGCTGTTAAGTTTTAACAATGTTTGGGAAAAGGCGAAGCTTCACTGTATTTTTAAACGTGCTTTGTTCTATTTCTTCTTTTAAGCAGACGAACCCCATCAAACTAAGCCTGCTTTGATAAGATGACCCCCACGTGAAGTCACAAGGACACATACTCCCACATCTGCATTTTCGTCCCGCGCTACATCTCAAGGTTGAATTTATTTTTTGTTTCAGAATGTCGAATGTTTACATTTCGTTTGAGTATTCATAATAAATATATCTTTCATATCAAAATAAGATTGTTATGTTTTTAATATTCGTTATTTGACTGCTGCAAAGGAAGTGTCGAGGTTGTTGTTGTTGGTTTGTTGTTTAACGCCGCACTCAGCAATATTACAGCTATATGACGGTGGTCTGTAAATAATCGAGTCTGGACCAGACAATCCAGTGATTAATATCATGAGCATCGATCCACGCAATTGGGATACGATGACATGCATCAACCAAGTCAGCGAGCCTGACCACCCGATCCCGTTAGTCGCCTTTTACGACAAGCATAGTCACCTTTTACGGCAAGCATGGGTTGCTGAAGACCTATTCTACCCCGGATCTACCCGGGGCAAGTGTCGAGGTGCTGGGATGAGTGGCTAGCCGATATCTGAGGAGTAGGACAGTCCAGACTACTCGGGTCCACTCAGCTTGTTTTTGCGTAAGATTGAGTGAGTGACTATATTTTTACGCCGCTTTTAGCAATATTTCGCAATATCACGCCAGGGGGCACCAGAAATGGGCTTCACATATTGTACCCATTTGGGGAATCGAACCCGGGTTTTCGGCGTGACGAGCGAACGCTTGACCACCAGGCTACCGCACCGCCCTTTATTGCATAATACCTCGGGCAGCAAATAGAATGCGTTTCGTCCCTTAGGCGCGACAGGATCCAGTGTTTTGGGGTTCGACTCATGGTTTCGTAAGTGAGTATGGTTTTACGCCGCTTTTAGCAATATTCCAGCAATATCACGGCGGGGAACACCAGAAATGGGCTTCACACATTGTACCCATGTCGGGAATCGAACCCGGGTCTTCGGCGTGACAAGCGAACGCTTTAACCACTAGGCTACCCGACCGCCCCACTCATGGTTTCGCCCTAATTATGATCCTTGGTTTGTCAATGCCATGCTCGTGGGTTTCACCATACTGGTAAATGTTTCAGACCTGTATCCTTTCTCTGACATACCTGTACTGCTCAAAGTGACGTTTAACCCAACTCAGTTACTTATTTCAGCTGTTTGAGGTTAAAAGATACAATCTCCCAAGGAATCTGGTAATATACTCACCGACAAAAGAAACGCGAATACCATACATGTTGGTTTATGTATGGATATTTACTCATATTCAAGAGATATTAGAATGGTTCGACGCGCAAACGAAAATACTGTTATGTTGTGTGAACCGACGCTCATGATTTGGTTGGTTGCTTTGTTGTTTTACGCCGCACTCAGCAATATGGCAGCTATATGACGGTGGTCTGTAAATAATCGAGTCTGGACCAGACAATCCAGTGATTAATATCATGAGCATCGATCCACGCAATTGGGATCGATGACATGCATCAACCAAGTCAGCGAGCCTGACCACCCGATCCCGTTAGTCGCCTTTTGCGACAAGCATAGTCGCCTTTTACGGCAAGCATGGGTTGCTGAAGACCTATTCCAACCCGGATCTTCGCGCGTCCCGACGCTCATGAACGCATCACATGTGACGTAATGAATCGAGATACACCATTTGTCTCGTGAAGGATTAACGTGTAATTATTGGCAATAACGTGCAGCATATCGTGATAAGAATAAAGACACTTTGTCGTAACACTTAACTGATTGTAAGATGTGTCATGAAGTGGTACACATTGGAAACATCTCTAACTAACATACATACTTCTCCATATGTTTCTGTGGTTCGCCCGCCGTCATATAGCTGTAATATTGCTGAGTGCGGCGTTAAACGACAAACCGACCGAATTCTATGGTTCGCGTTTCTTTGAACGGTGAGTATATATAGGGCATCATCAGTTGTTTTGTAGTGTTCAGTTGCATTACTTACATCAAGCACGTGAGGGGTATCTGGGTTAAAATACAGGTTCCCAGTCCCCTGTGCTGGTCGTAAGATGCGTCTGAACGGATCAGGTGGCCCGGCTCGGGGATTGCAAGTCATCCTATCCTAATTGCGGGGGTTGATGCCCACGACACAGCTGGAGTAAGGATTAGTGCGGCATTAGGTGAGGTGAAATTGGGTTTAACGTCGCGTCTAAGATTATTGCACTTATATAGCGACGTGCTGATGCTAGTCCGGACTGATGCCGATTTATAGTGCCAGCTCACTGAGATACCATGCCGCAGTTTAACATGAATACCCCACTCAGACACAGTATACTGACTCCGAGCCGACCAGTCCTTGTTTTAGCCCCTTAATGCCGAGCGCCAGACAGGGTAACACCAAGTACCATCTTTTAACGTCTTTTGGTATAACGCGGCCGGGGATCGAACCCCGGACCTTCCGCTCTCCGGGCGGACGCTCTACCACTAGACCACGGAGGCGGTTAGTGCGGCATTAAACAACAAAGAAACCAAAACAGAAACCAATATTAAGGGTATATGACACACTAATATTACAGCTCCTCAGATAGCAACCAGGACATGTTAGATCTTCAAAATTAAACAATAAAACTGAAAAATTAATTGTTATAAAATTTATTCATTTACAAACAAACACACACACACACATACACTTCTTGATATACGATGTACCATTGGCCTTGGTGTTCCCCTTCAATATATCTGTTGACAAGATAATTGTTCAACGAAACAAGCACATTAGCATCGTGTCAACTTGTGCAAATGAAAACGAGAATCACGTTGAGTCAATAAGGTTAGGCAGGGTCCGGCCAAAAGAGGAGGTGAGGTGAAATGGGGTTAAACGTCGCATCCAAGATTATTGCATTTATATAGCGACGTGCATGCACGTGTGTGTGTGGCTGCTTGTACTAGTCCGGACTGATGCCGATTTATAGTGCTAGCCCACTGAGATACCATGCCGCAGTTTAACATGAATACCCCACTCAGACACAGTATACTGACTCCAAGCCGACCAGTCCTTGTTTTAGCCCCTTAATGCCGAGCGCCAGACAGGGTAACAACAAGTACCATCTTGTAACGTCTTTTGGTATGACGCGGCCGGGGATCGAACCCCGGACCTTCCGCTCTCCGGGCGGACGCTCTACCACTAGACCACGGAGGCGGTCGGCCAAAAGAGGAATATCCCTCGGAGGATCCTGTGATTCGCCAGGAGGATGTTCTCAAGCCCGAGATTACAGCTTCGACAGATCTTAAATAAGTGTCTTTAAAAAATGACAATCAGTTCCACTTATACAGAATGATCACAGTCCTACTGAATCGACTTCAAAGTGCAAAATGTGCCACAATGTCGATGTATAACTATATCCTGTTAATGCCCCTATTGGCCTGGGAGTTTCACAACATGCTGGTTTGCAAATGGGTTGATTGCCCCGGGGATGAGGGACGGGACCGGCATGGTGGTGGGGGTGGAGGCAGAGACAGAGGTGCCCATGGGAACCTGAGTCGTGGGTACTGGCCGCACAGGTACCGGCCTGGGAGCAGGGATTTGACCGTTAGGTGGTGTGAGTTGTGTGAAGTTGGGACGCTGCCCTGAAGGAACCGAAGGTGGCCGAGATCTATCTGGTTCTTCTTCTTCCTCTTCTTCCGCCTCCCCTTCCTCATCTTCTTCCTTCTTCGAGGAGGCTTGTGGTTTTGTGACTGGTTCAGTGTTGGTTGGCTGTGTAGCTTGTGACGGAGGGGGGATCTGTCTCCTAATGGGCACAACTGACATATGGGTTGGTTTTAGCAGTGCTGAGTTAACGTGTCTTGGCTGGGTAGTTTTCTTCTTCTCGCCTGTTAAGAAAAATGGCAGATTGCTGGGTTTGTGCGGTACGTCCAGGACACCGCTCTGTAAAATATTAGGAATTTGCAGATTGTTTTCTGCAACTGTGGAATGAAGGTTTCGTCGGGTTGGATTTGAACTGAGAACATTAGGAACAGCAGCGGGCCGATATGGATGGTTTGTGCCAGTTAATCCAGGCGAAGAACGAAGAACATCAGTTGTCGGCTGACTGTTGATGAACGTGGGATTTGGTGCCAATGGATCACGCCCATTGTGACTTAGCTGTGCCACGTGTACATGAGGCTGCTGATTCTGCCCATGGCTGTGGACGATAACATGACTGTGTGGCTCTGCATTCCCTGGCCGTGAATGAGTTCTACTTGAAGCAACAGGAGCATCTGTTGTATGAGTCTTCTGGCTTGCTTTATGATTCGTGGAAATCACATGGACCAACATGTCAACCAGCTTCTTCTGATCCTGAGAAAGTTGTGATGGGGGAGTTGGTGCTGCTGCTGCTGCTGCTGCTGCTGGCGATTGACGTCCAACACCTCTACCAACGACCTGTGCACCCTGTTGCAGGGTGAAAGAATTTACAGCCCCCCTTCCTGCAAAAGGATTGGCACCACCGAATGCCATAGCAACAGGATTTCCTCGAAAAGCTTTACCAAGAGGATTGGCTTGAAATCCTTGACCTGGCATAAATCTTGGTGTCTGTGGTGCGACCTGCTGGCGGACGAAATAGGGCTGCACTCTTCTGTTCGCCAATCCCATGTTGGTGAAACCATAGTTTTGACCCACAGCGGGTGCAAGGATACTGCCTGGAAAATGAATCAATACAAACTCTATTTAGTGTTTACACTTCGGGGATCCCATTAACATGATGAAATACATAGTGAGTGAGTGAGTTGGGTTTAACGCCGCTTTTAACATTATTCCAGTCATATCACGGCGTGTCAGCTTCATGTTGGATGAAAGCCCGAAGTGATACAGGTCTCAAACGTTTACCACTTTGGTGAAATCCACGAGCACGGGTATGGTGCTGACAAAACTAGAAACATAATGGGGGCGAACCGGGATTCGAACCCACAATCATAGGTTTCTGGCGTGCCCAAGGGACGCAACTCTGCACAGCGAATCGCGGCGCCTTAGACGACAGGGCCGACAGTTCCCCCTGATGAAATACATAAGAAGATGTTCAAAACGTTTTAGATATATAACTCAATATACGTTTAATGGTTTCCATAACGCGTTTTCATGGTTTTGTTTGTTGGTTTTTGTTTAACGCCGCACTAAGCAATATTCCAGCTATATCACGGCGGTCTGTAAATATTCGAGTCTGGGCCAGACAAAAGAGTGATTATAATAGAATAATAACATATACTTGCTCGATCTATACAATTGGGATACGATGACATGCATCAACCAAGTCAGCGAGCCTGACCACCCGATCCCGTTAATCGCCTCTTACGACAAGCATAGTCGCCTTTTACGGCAAGCATGGGTTGCTGAAGACCTATTCTACCCCGGATCTTCACGGGTAGGTTTCATGGTATTACATTAGTCCATCATCTATCAATCACTCACCCAGTACTGTCAGTTTAAACACAACCGTTGTATCCATCACGACAAGCAGAGACAACGGCAATCAAACGACACGCACTTGTATTTATATAGCTTATGCATGACGTTCAAATAGTACACATTTTTAGGTGTCTCCACCCAAATATTAAAATTTGAAGAAAAGAAATTGCGTCACGGAATTGCAAAGTACGCCCTACACCAGCTGTTGTTCCTGGATTAAGAAATCTCAAACCGTCACAAATATTTAACCAGTGTACTTTAGGCTGAAGCGATTTACTTCCTGATAGATATATACTTTAACAATATCACAGTCTAGGTTGCCCAGTCTTGACGAGATATGTCCATATTGGATGTTAGTGTCAGTAACTTAATGTTGTTTTGGCGAAGGATCCTCAGTACTAAACTTTACCATTAAGTTGGGTAATATTTAACAGTTAACCATAACAGTTTAGTTTTTAATAAAACACTGCAGGGAGAATAAACCATGAGTACGCCGCCTTGAGTGGTTTATTCTCCCTGCAGTGTTTTATTGTGTACGATAAACAATCCCATTCGTCGTTTATTCCGTCTTTAAAACGTCACTATTTTGTACAGCCTATTTAAGCATGTTAATAAAATTTAAAAACTTTTATAATATGTACCATATTTAAATAATAATGACTCCCAGAATACAATCCGACGTCGGCAAATGTCGGACAAGTCCATTTTATGAACAGGGGTCTACGTTTGATATTTCTCGGAAATTTTCTGTATCTTTTCTCCCAATTCCGATTTCATATTCCTCCAACCTTTGAAGGCGATCGTCCGGCCATTGCGATCATCTGCGTTGCCCAGCTACACCCATGGGGAACAACTCACTAGACACTTCTCTATAATATCCAAATTAACGCGAACAATGTGCAGTTTTTAATGGAAACAGTTTCCGTGCTTTAGCAATCGCTTCTTTTATGTTTTTAAAGGGAAATTTAAAACCTAAATACGAACATATATCCGGCTTTGCGGCCTGTGGTTGTTTGGTTTGGAGTGAGTGAGTGAGTTGGGTTTAATGCCACTTTTAACAGTATTCCAGTTATATCCCGACGTGACAGCTTGATGTGGGAGGAATGCCCGAAGTGATGCAGGTCTCAGACGTTTACCATTTCGGTGAAACCCACGAGCACGGGTATGGTGCTGACAAACCTAGAAACATAATCGGGGCGACCCGGGATTCGAACCCACAATCATAGTTTTCTGGCGTGCTCAAGGAACGCAACTTTGCACAGCGAATCGCAACGCCGAAGACGTCTGGGCCGACCGTGCCCCCGTGTTTGGCTTGGAACACGCCACAGCGCCTGATTTCTTTTAAGCGGTGATGACCATTTTGTTTGCCTTGTCTCACAGGCCTGACGTTAGCAAAGAATGTTTTGACAAGACATAGTCTTAATCGTTGAGCAAAAACTACATACAGTGTTGTATTGTCCAAATCAAAAAAGCTACATGTAGTGTATTTGAACATAGGATACCATCTGTTACAAAATTGACATACCAAACACTAAAAATGGATTCAACAGAAAGATCGGGAAAGAAATCCCTCCTATATACCCTTGAACTGCCGCACCACACAAGTTTAGTGTGATCATAAACTCGATAAATAACGCTTTGATTGTTTGTTGTTCGACGCCGAACTCAGTAATATTCCAGCTCGACCAGTATGGCTTCTTTTGTTTGTTGTTTAATGCCGCACCCAGCAATATTCCAACTCGATCAATATCGCTTCGTTTTTATTTGTTGTTTAACACTGCAATATTCTCGCTGTTTGGCTGTGGAATGTAAATAATCAAGTCTTGACCGTACAATCCAGTGATTCTCATCATGAGCATCGACCCCCGCAATCAGTACATGACACTGCAAACACGAAAACGTCGTTTTTTTCCGTATATGGTCATTGGACGGAAAAACGACGTTATTTGGACGTTTTCAAACCATCGTTTTTCCGTCCAAATAACGTCGTTATTTGACATCGGAATTTACTGGGAGAGAACGATAGCGTTAAGCTCCTCCCTTTCTTGATTGACATTGTCAATCAAGCAACAGCGTCTACCGGTATTTCTACTTCTCAGATTTCATTGGTCAGTCCCCGCATGTTAGATTACAGGCCCGCGTTTGACGCTGCACTCGAAGCGCTCAGCGGAAGTACTGAAATCAATCGTTCTGCGCATGCCGATTACTTAATGCCTTGACCAAATTTTCCGTTCTGTGCATGCGCGATTTCGCGTATTGGTCCTAGATTTAATGTCACCACTATTTGACAATGGTTCATAAACACAGTCACGTGAAGGTTCGGAATCGTAACGAGTAACTCCATTTAAATTGAAGAGGATTCCCAGTGATATGGGAGATTCCAAGATGAAACTATTCTATGGCTATCTAGGCTGCCACCCAAACCGATCTAAACGGGACCCGATAGCTTATTGTATGCTATATAGTCATATGGAAGTGGACAAGAACTATACATTGTATTCCGGCCGATTGTTCTTGCATTTACTTATAAGTCAGGAAAATGGACTTAAAAGGGGACTTGTTGAATGTAATTATTTTAATTATTAAATGTTGCCTATAGACTAATCTGGACGAACTTCTCATTGTTCTGTTTATGTTATCCTATATACTATTAGTATGTTACCGTTCTAAAGTCAACCTCTCACATAACATTATATTGTTCATAGTATCAAAGTTTAATCAACAATATCAAGAGCAGCGATTTAAACCACTGAAACACCCAAACACAAGGCTGTTATCAAGCGCTAGTGCAGACGTGATGCATCGTAAAAACTGTATCGTGATGTCTTCATGATCAGAAATTCAATTATACTACGAGATAGTACGGCTAACGCTGACTCACCGGTGGAACAAAGACAATTTCGCTAATACAGATATAACGTATTTGAATGTTAATACTAAAGACAAACAATCATTATTTTTGCAGTGACGATATAACACGTATACACGTTTATTGTTAACTTTCATCAGTTTTGCTCTTCATTTAAATAACTTTGTTTTCACATATATATGTAGCAATACCCGACAAGCATGTCATACATAATTATGGGGCAGTTTTCAATCTTGTACTGACTTACTCTGGTGTTAATGAGCGAAGTTTATTGGCTTGTGTGTAAAACCCCGTTTTTCTGGTAATCCTATTATTACTTAGTTTACTTCTATCTAATGACACCCTGTTCTCTGGATCATGGCTCCGTGACTATCCATAACAATTAAGATGAACATTCAGTTCAAGTAAATGAATGAGTTTGTTTTGACGCTACAGTCAGTCAAAAAACCAATGCTGTGAGGTTTGATAACACACTTCTACCAGGTCGAACATCGTGGATCCTCATTTTCTGCCTAAAGAGAATCATAGTTCATATGCTAATCCATCTGCGAATACTCTCCCACTCAAGATGACCTTACTTGTTGCTAAATCTATCATCTATCCCCCTAATCTCACCCGCCCCCACCCCCCACACGCACGCACGCACGCACGCACGCACGCACGCAAACACGCACACACACACACACACGCAAGCACACACGCACACACGCACACACACACACACACACACACACACACACACACACACACACACGCACGCACGCACGCACGCACGCACGCACACACACACGCACGCACGCACGCGCGCACACACACACACACACACACACACACACACACACACACACACACACACAAACAACTGACCTAAATAACCTGGACAGGAAATACTGCTGATAGCCTCTGGTCAACTCAGCCGCGCCACCGCAGAATGTTCGTCCAACTCTGCAGGGGGCATTCTCAGTGGCTTCAAACGCGCTGAAATGTTTTCGCCTTGCATCCAAGATGGTGGACAAGTGAAATCGTATGAAATTTGGCTATTTTAGGTCCTATCTCTTTTTTGATTACCCAATAAAGTCAATTCATAGTTACACGGTTGTGAAGAAGCTTACAACTTTATAAGACTTATTCATCTCATTCCAAAAAAGCTACTCGCTCTCACATAAAGTTGTAGTTATTATGTCACTGTTTTATTTCTTTAAAAATATATTACATGTTCAACAATAACAATTAAGATGAACATTCAATTTCCGATATAAGTAAATGAATAAGTGTGTTTTACGCCACAATCAGTCAAAGACCAACGTTGTCCGGTCTGATGACACACAATCTACCAGGTAGCACATTGTGTACACCCTATCCCCATTGAAGTCTCCACTGTGGGTATTCCTGGGGACGAAAAGGCCCCATGTACCTAGGAATTTCATCAATACATTCTCTGCCTAAAGAAGATCATATAGTTAACATGCTAATCCAATTCGAACTACCATCCCGCTCAAGATGAATGTTTTTTGTAACATCCAACAGGCCCACATTTACGCACGCACGCACGCACGCACGCACGCACGCACGCGCACACACATATTTGGATTTACCAATCCCTGAATTGAGAAGACGTGCGTTACGAAGCTCCTCCAAGTCATCATCAATATCCGTATATGTCTGTGATATCATTACCCATCCAAAGCCGAATATACATTTATTGTGTTTTCTTGACAACAAATGTTATAATTGGGATAACACTTTCTGAGTAAAGTACAGATTCTCGTACTTTCTTGGGTTGAGCCCCCTCCGGGATTTGAACCCACACTGTGAGTGAGGCACCCAATCGCCAGAACACAAAGTTGGCGATCTAACCCAGCCACCGAACCATAAAAGGTTAGTCCAGATGACGTATACTTTCTGTACTCCTCTGACAAGAGAAAAATGGCACGGCTTCTATGACCGAAAGCTTTGAACCAACAATGCCTTAAAGAAAGTGGTCAACAGTAACACACATTATATTTGGATACCACTTTCTCAGTAAACTACATATTTTTAGGGTGGAGATAATAGACGTTGATGGTTGATTATCAATGGACAAATTAAAGCCAAAACTTAACTTATGAATGATTGGTAATGGGAAATGGACAATGGGCAAACGGGAGGCGGGGTAATCAGCGCCATGCCAGTTATCTGT